GAACCAGTGGTAGTAGTTGTGTACAATGGAACGGTTGCGATAAATATCTCACTGGTAGTAGACGACCCTTTTATCACTTCTGAAGTGTATGTAGTCGGTACAGAACCAGTGGTAGTAGTTGTGTACAATGGAACGGTTGCGATAAATATCTCACTGGTAGTAGACGACCCTTTTATCACTTCTGAAGTGTATGTAGTCGGTACAGAACCAGTGGTAGTAGTTGTGTATAAAGGAACGGTAACCACAAAAATCTCGCTTGTGGTGGACGACCCTTTTATCACTTGTGAAGTATAGGTAGTGGGGACTGAACCAGTGGTAGTTGTTGTGTATAATGGAACGGTTGCGATAAATATCTCACTGGTGGTAAAAGATCCGTTGACCACTTGTGAAGTGTATGTAGTAGGCACTGAACCGGTGGTAGTAGTTGTGTATAAAGGAACGGTAACCACGAAAATCTCACTGGTGGTAAAAGATCCGTTGACTACTTGTGAAGTGTATGTAGTCGGTATAGACCCCGTGGTAGTAGTTGTGTATAATGGAACAGTAACCACGAAAATCTCGCTAGTAGTAGATGAACCTTTTATCACTTCTGAAGTATATGTAGTCGGTACAGAACCAGTGGTAGTGGTAGTTGATAATGGAGGTAGCTCAACCACAACGACCTTACTCGTCGTCAATGTTCCCGACACAAGTTTTGAAGTGTAAGTGGTAGCTGTAGAACCAGTGATGGTGGTAGTCGATAGAGGAGGAACTTCAACTACAACTGTGGCAGTAACGTTACCGCCAACCGTGGGAGTGGTGGTATACGAAGAAGAAAACGTTTGTGCCCATGTTGATGTGATGGTTGCCGTACCGACTACGCAGGTAGTACCTGAATTTACTGAATAACCTGGAAAATCATCGGAGGTTACAACTGACCCGTCAGGTTGTTTAACATTGAATTTGAGCGTGGATTTCCCTGCCCAGTTAAGGAATACTATTTTGATGGGATGATAACCTTTCTCAAGTGCGACCAGATATGACTTTGAAGCGTCCTTTGTAACGTCAGCTGTCATTACGGGGGTATCCCCTGTGATTTGACTTAGATCACCGCAACAGCTTCCTGTAGAACTTCCTAAATACAAGTTCATGTCATCATCGAAGTTAACTAAATTAAAGGTGTATGTACCATCTTGGGGAGCATAGTAATAACCTGTTATTCTCAAACCAAAGTTATTGACATTAACAATTTTGCCATAGAGGTTCTGATTATTAGCAGCAGCAGTATTGACTCCATTATACATATCAAATGTAAGATTACGCACATTATCCATTGTTTCAGATGCTGCTTCATGATTAATGGTAGCAAGGTATGAGTTACAAGGTACATTTGAGCCATCAGTAGTACCGCAATACTTGTATGCATTAGTGATATAGTCCACATGTAAACCGGTACTTAATCCCAGCACCTGACAAGCCGGGAGTGCTGCGGCACTGATGTGTAAGATAAGCGACAAAAGAAGAAATATTTTTAAAAGCATTTCTAACAGTTGATTTACTAATGAAGGAGGCTATCCTTTATATACCTCGATAATAAATTCCACTAATTCTGATCAATTTTCCAAAAGAGAAAAAAAGGGACCAGAAATACACAATGATAAGGTCACTCCAACGGGTATAACGATATAACTGATATTTTCTATTCATGCAGTACAAACAAGCCCTATGCACATCTCGAGCGTCTAGTGTGTTTTATGGATGATTGAGGATATTAATATTGTTGTCTTACTATGCATGAAGGTTGTTTGTCTAAAATAGGCTGATTTTGGGGCCCCCTGATTGTGGATTTAATCTCCGTTGAAGATTCTATTCATTTCCATATCCTTTTTTAAAGCCAACTCCTATTGACTTAAAAACTTGAGAATGAGACCAATGTTCAAAGAGGCTTTTTTGTCAACAAGAATAGCAGGGACTGACTGATTTGAAATTAAAGTTTTAGGTGTTTACTTAGAAAATGAAAACCTCTGAATAAATTTGAGAACGATGAGAACAAGTATGCTTTTAATAGCATGAGGAACTGCACAGCGCTATTCGCCTAAAAATATCCCACAGAGTCACAATGTCCGGTGTAAAATCAATACTCTATCGCAGTTAAGGCGGTTTTGGTCCCGGAGCTCTCAAATCCAGCCAGAGACCCTAAGCATATTTGTCGAAGTCAAAACAAGCTTTCAAGGTTTGTTTTAACCCTCTCGAAAATAATTGGGCCCAACCCACCAATGGTAGTGCGCTCTGAGTATTTTACTGGTCTTTTTGTTTATTGATGGAAATTGTCTCGGGGGAAAAAGGAGTTTATATTTGGATGTCGCGGTTTACTTCGGCAAACTCTATCCAAACAGGGAAAGTAGTTCCTTCTGATCAAAAGAGACAAATTTTCAACTGAAAGCATCGTATTACATTACACTACAGTGTGCGATTTGTCTACAGCTCCAGATCGATCATATCAACCAACATAGCTTCGACTGGTTAACAAAGTAGAAAAATATCTCTGAAATTTAAAAATGTGCGACAAAGTTAGACAGGGAAAATCTCGTATTGATCTCGTTTATCAGTTCGGAAAAATCTGCCTAGTTGCATAGCATCCAGGTTAGCCATAACGCACTCAATGAATATTTTCTGGGAGTGTACAAAATACTTTATTTTATAGATGAATGGCACGATAGCATTCTGGGCACTATTCGGGGATCACTGGTATATTTCGTATATGTCCAACAAGGAATTTCGTCGCTCCGGAAGTGTATGTTTCGAAAACCGTTTGCATCCAAGTGCGAGGCGAGTTTTGGCCAAAATCAAGTCCGATAAATCACCTGATCTAAGGACGTGCACATAACGTGATTCACAAACATTACTTATTCAAAACATAAAGATCCATACCATTTAAACATGGTCTGAAACAAATTCAAACTTAGGACAGATCAGAGGTTACATGTCAGTAGGATTTATACCATTATTGTTCATTCCATCGAATATAGTATTTCACCTGATAATTTTAATGAAATCTCCACTATGGGAAGATAGTTCAATTCAGAGCGATTCTATCCGGAATCTTCGTAAGGAATGACGTAAAGTCAGTCTGAGGTCCATCTCACACCAAATTGAAAGCTGAAGTACCAATTTGTATATACGATTGGTTATTGAACCATCGCAACCATTGAATTTCAGAAAACTACCCGAACATTTGGTCAAAATTTATCCAGTAGATGCCGATTCTCACAATCTTGAGTAGTACTTTAGCAAGATATACGCCCAAAGATTATGACCGGAATAAGTAATGACTATTGCTCTTCCATAAAGTCCGGCTTCTCAATGAAAGTTTCGCAGATAAGGGAGTGGTTTCGCGGATAGCAATTTTTCTAATACTATGTCCTACGGTTCTAAAGCTGGAGAAAGACTTGCTAACAAAGTTGTATTGATTACTGGAGCTTCTTCTGGTATTGGGGAAGCCACTGCTAAGGATATTGCTGCTACCACCAATGGAAAAATCAAATTAATCTTAACTGCAAGAAGAAAAGAGAAATTAGATAAACTTTCCAGCGATTTGAAAGATCAATATTCTGACATTGAAGTTTTACCAGTTGAATTGGATGTTTCCAAATTGGAAACTATCAAGCCATTCATTGGGGGACTTCCAAAAGAGTTCGCTGATATTGACGTTTTAGTCAACAATGCTGGTTTGGCTTTAGGGAGAGATCCTGTTGGAACTATTTTAGAATCTGATATTGTCACTATGTTCCACACTAACGTTTTAGGTTTAATAACTTTGACTCAAGCAGTGTTACCAATTATGAAAGCCAAAAATTCCGGTGATATCATCAACCTTGGTTCAATTGCTGGTAGAGACCCTTACCCAGGTGGAGGTATTTATTGCCCTACCAAGGCAAGTGTTAAATCATTCTCTCATGTTTTGAGAAAAGAATTAATCTCCACTAAAATCAGAGTCATTGAAATTGATCCTGGTAATGTTGAAACCGAATTTTCAAATGTTAGATTTAAAGGTGACTTGGAAAAGGCCAAACAAGTTTATGCTGGTACTGAACCTTTATATGCTGAAGACATTGCTGAATTCGTCGTTTTCGCTATCACCAGAAAACAAAAGACTGTAATGGCAGAAGCATTGGTATTTTCCACCAATCAAGCTAGTGCTACTCACTTGCATCGTGATTCATAGATAATATAGACTAGAATTCTTACTTGAAGTATTTGTAAAACTTCGCAGAATAGTCATAAAGGACTATTGGGTGTTAAGACCCACAATTAATCTCTCTTCCGGTAGTTACGATTTCCAAAAGTTGTTACAGAATATTCCCAGAGGTTGAGATATCAAATTCTCGTAAATTTATATTCACCATTGATGACGGAGAGCTAAAAGATCATCAAAATCTACACATTGCAAGTTCTTGGAGATGGAATAAACTCCATCAATATTATCGAAAAACTTTTCATTTCTTTGTCCCCATCCGAAAGGACTTGGTCCCCATGTTGGAACATAGCATACAGAATTGAGTCCACATTTTTCCGTACAATCAACAAATATTGTCCATCTTAAAATGTCTAAGAACTCCACCAATTCCTTTTGTTTGATGGCAACTCGTTGTTTGAGTACTTCTAAATCAGAAACTTTATCTACAATATCTCTTCCCAAATTATAAATGTCAAACATCATAGTAGAAATCTCGAATTGGACTTTGAAGATTGATGAATAGATCAATATATCGTTATGTTGTAACGGGTAGGTGTGATGAACATAATCTAAAATACTACTATTGAACCCATACTGATCTCTATCAATGTGATGGTTAATATCATTGTATCTTCTTTTAAAATTGAAGGTCAAGGTCAACAAATCTTCTCCCAAAATTTCCAAAGATTCTTCTGAACCATTAAAAAATGTAAATGTTTTATTGATTGTATCAAATAAAGGGCCAAATTTATTCTCTATCAAACCCGTCACTACTTGCCAGTCAGTGGTTTCATAAGGATCAATCTTGGTGGTGGCATAAAAAGTTTCTAATTCACCGATAATATCTTCCTTCAATTCGTTATCAATGTAACTTATGTTTCTTGCAAAAGGATTTGGATCTATGTATGTTTTATTAAGAGGTGTAACCATCTTGGAAAAATCAAGTTTAATCCTTCTATCCCCGTCGTTTACATAAGATGACATCCTAAGATTCTCGAAAGAATCCTGAGCAGAGAATTTCTTGATTAAAGGGGCCGAACCATCACTACCTGAAGGAATGGACAAAGTATCGATGGTAGTATCTAGAGTGACATTAGATATCAACTCAAGGTCTCTTTGAAAATCACATACAATAATCTCAAAACCGATTTCTAATCTGATGATCCCTTGCAAGCCAAAGCTTTGACCCCAATCACAAATCTTCTCGGCTGCAATTCTTTCATCTACAGGGGCACTGGTATTTTTTTGCCTACTAAGAATCATTTGTTGATCCATTAAAGGAGAATACTTAGCAGCTGAAGCACCGTCTAACAAAATTACTTTATCAAGGGCTCTTGTAGTTCTAAAACTGTATAAATAAGCATCACCAAAAAATGGGAGATGCTTGTGCTTGTTACCAGATTCAGGAGCCCCAGGAGGTTTCTTTGGAAATGGTGGCGGTTTAGTTGAATTCTGGGGTTTTTGGAACTGAGCAAAAGCATAACTAAATTCATATTCCATGGCAATCCATTCAAACAGTTCAGGAATTTCGGGCAGACCTGTGGAATGATAGAATCTTGTATTTGGAGGAATGTAAGCCGGAATAAAGGAAACTCCTACGGGATTCAAATTAGCATCCTTCTGCTTCAAAGCTCCATGAACGGTATTGAATATAGCTGAAGCATTCACCAAATCAATAGGATATTCTTCGTACACTTTGAATGGATTGACATATTCACTTTCCTTATTGATATGGCCATGAGGTATACTTTCAACAGGCCAATGGATATTCCAGTAATTACTGACATACAACAATGATACCAAGAAGACGTTACTTGCCACCAACAAAGTTATAACTTGACTTTTGTTCATGGTTATCAAAGCCGATAAGGCAAAGGCGCGGTCAGATATAGTTTTGGGTTAGATTATGTAATTACCCAAGTTTACGGGATTGACAGGTATTTGAGTCATTTGACATGTGAAATAAGGAGGCAAGTCCGATTTGGGATATGCCATTGAAGGATAATTGCTTTTGCAAGATCGAGATACAAGAGCCGAATTGGATGTCTTCTCCATGTTCCGCTGCGGCTAAAATCTCACTTGATAAGATATGAAGCAATTTTTTGCCATTACATATGGAATAGGTATTCTATTTGGTATGTCGAATACTCTGTGGAACCTTGAACGACTTATGATAGTATGTTTGTGAAGGAAAAGATCAGATTGGGGGAGGATATATCACCTTTCGCTCAAAATTTTTGATCTCAGGCCCATTAAACGTAGGTGATTCGTTTTCTCATGACACCAGAATATGTCAAGTCTCTACAAAGTTGAGAAATCATGAAAAGTCTGCCAAAGCTCTGCTCATCCAAAACTCCATATTCTTTTTGCAGCTAAATATTTGCAACATCGCGAAAAATTTTGAGATGAGTATGGAGAAGACACAGAATAAGAAGCCATTCAAAGGTAATAAAACCAACGGCAAGAAGCCTAATGGTAAGAAACCGAATGGTAAGAAGCCATTCAAAGGCAAAAAGAACTTCAAACCAAACAAATCAAATAAACCCATGTCGTTGAAGAAACAACTTTTACAAGGATCCAAGGTTGTAAAGGCAGATGTATTAAATTGGAAACCAGTTGACATACCTGATAATTTGGAAAGTTACGAAGGTTTCTTCGGATTAGAAGAGATCGAAGGAGTGGATGTCGAGATTGTCGATGGAAAAGCCCAATTCAAAGTCAGAGATGACGCCAAATTAAAGACATCAGAAACAACCGAAGAAGATAATGATGAGATTCCAGAAGAAGAAGAAGAGTTCACAGGTTTCGATGATGCAGAAAAAGAAGAATCAGTGGAGACTTCAGAGATTTTGAAACATCAAGATGAAACAAAAGATGAATCAAAAGATGAATCGAAAGATGAGGAAATGGATGACGACGAAGAAGAAACTGAAGATGAATTGAAAGCTAATTCCTTCATTAATGTTAAATTACCTGATGATAATGTTCATTTACCTCAATGGGATAGTCTTAAACTTAATAGTTATACATTGACTGGGTTAAAAGGATTGAACATGTCCACCCCCACTCCAATTCAAAAAGAATCCATACCGTTAGCTATCGAGGGAAGAGATATCATTGGTAAGGCTACTACAGGTTCAGGTAAGACTTTGGCTTATAGTATACCAATTTTAGAGAAATATGTCAGTAATTTGGAGCTTTATCAACAAAACCAAAAGAATAAGATTGTCAACCCACCAACAGGTATAGTGTTTGTCCCTACCAGAGAGTTGGCTCACCAAGTGGTAGACCATATAAATAAAATATCCAAATTTTATCCAATTCATAATCATAGCGTTGTCAGTATAACAGGAGGTCTTTCCATTCAAAGACAAGAAAGAATTTTGAATTATGGGCCAAGTATCATAGTTGCTACACCAGGTCGTTGTTTGGAATTGATTGAAAAATCAGAAGTTTTGCTTTCAAGATTAGCGTCAACAGATATTGTCGTATTGGATGAAGCGGATAGATTGTTACAAGATGGACATTTTGATGAGTTTGAAAGAATCTTATCATTATTTAAGAAACATAGACCTAAAGGATTAGCTACTTGGAAATGGCAAACCTTAGTTTTCAGTGCAACATTTGCTAGAGAATTATTTGGTAAATTGGTTAATAAGAATGTCAAATCAAGCAACTCACAATTGGCTGATAACGATGAAATTTTACAACTTCTTAATGAAAAATTAAATTTCAAAGATAAAAAACCTTTGGTAATTGATGCCAATCCTAAAGAAATTGTTTCAGGACAAATCACTGAAGCTTTAGTTGAATGTGGACCAACAGAAAGAGACTTATATTTATATTATTTCTTATTACTTTATAAAGGAACTACATTAGTATTTGCTAATTCCATTGATTCTGTCAAGAAGATTGTACCATTTTTAAATAATTTAAATATTCCAGCATTTGCCATTCATTCATCAATGATACAAAAACAAAGATTAAGATCATTGGAAAGATTCAAAGAAGCCAGTGAAAAAAATCAAGTTTCCGTATTAGTAGCATCAGATGTTGCTGCCAGAGGGTTAGATATTCCAAAAATTGATCATGTAGCTCATTATCATTTACCTAGATCAGCTGATGTATATATCCATAGATCGGGTAGAACTGCCAGAGCCGGGAAAGAAGGGGTATCAGTAATGTTCTGTTCTCCTCAAGAAGCTTCTGGACCTTTAAGAAAGTTGAGAAAGCTTGTAGCCAATTCCCTGAAAGATCCAACCAAATCCAAATTAAATATGCATAATGATGTCAAATTATTACCCATTGAAATGGATCTTGTCAATCAAATTAAACCAAGAGTAGAATTATCATCAAGATTAGCTGATGCTAGTTTATCCAACACATCAACTAGAAAGGAAGATAATTGGATGAAACAAGCAGCTGAAGATTTAGGAATCGAAAATATGTCAGATTTGGAAGATTTCGAAGATGATATCATTAAGAAGCAAAGACTTAGAAAGAAAAATGCCATGTTAACCAAAGATCAATCCAGGACTCTCAGATATGAATTAAAACAATTAATGGCTCAACCAATCAGAAAATTATCCAGAAGATCATATTTAACTAGTGGATTAGAAAATCTTGCTCATATTATGGTCACTGGTAACACACATAAAGATATTTTAGGACATGAAAATGTCAATGCATTACAAGACTTAAAGGGGAAGAATTATAAAGGAAAAGGTGATAAAGGAAAAATCACCAAACCAACTGCTGCCAAATCAAAGGCTACCAAATCAAAGGCTACCAAACCTAATGATAAAGTTACTAAACCAAAGTCAAAAAAAGGCTCAAATTAAGGGAAATGTATTAATATACAAAAAAAAAAAAGTTATATCTTATGTATCTATATAAATCTTTTTAATATCTAAATAAAATCATCATCACTATTGTCATCATAATATTCGTCTTCATCGGATTCATCAACCAAAGCATCGAAATTAACTTTGTATCTTAACATGGCACCAATACCACCAAAACCTTGAACGAATTGAGCACCTTCAGAAGATCTATCAGTAACGAATTCTAAATTAGCACCGAAACTCTTATAATTTTCAGCTAACCATTCCAAGAATATTTCTTCTTTAACGGTTTCCATTTCAGTACCAGTAGCTTTATCTAACATATAAGATTTATCAGGTAATTCTGGGTTAGCATGAACAACGACTTCATCACCTTCAGAATTCTTGAAAGTATAACGGATGATATTTAAATTTTCATAAACGATAACAATTTCACAAGCACCTAAATCTAATGCTTTTAAAGTATCTTCAATACCATAACAGAATTTACCGGTATCTTGAGAAATTTCATCGAAATAATCATTCAATAATTTCTTTTCTTGAACGAATTTAACATTAGCTAAAGTTTCAGCTGATAATTCAATAGCTTGATTGAAACCATTTTCTCCACCATAAGAGATGTCAACGATTTTAATAACTTTTTGTTGTAATCTTAAATCGAATAAATCAGATTTTGATAATTCAGTTTTAAAATCAGCTGAACCAGCTAAAATTAAACCTTTAACATTAACTTTATCAGCAGTAATGAAATTTTGCACAGCAACTTCAGCAACTTTTCTAACATAATTATGTCTTTTTTCTTCTCTTAATCTACTGAAACGAACAGCAGATTGACCCCCTCTACCATGCTTCTTTGGTAAATCAACAGTGAATTTATGTAAAACTTCTCTAGTATTACCAGTAACAGCCCCAAATAAGGCTCCATTACCATCCATAATAATAAAACCAAATCTGTCATCATCTTCCAATAATTCACTTAAAGCTTCAACATGGAATTTATTATCACATAAATATAATGAAGTATTAATTGGTTTGAATGGTTCGAAATCAATATTCAATTTCTTTTCTTTACCATCTTCGGTGATAACATCCCCACAATAGATAACTAAACCATTTTTTGGCACAGAATTATATAATTTCAATTTTTGTTGGGTAGAAGTAATGGCAGATAACACAGATAATCTGTTAACACGGGATTTAATATTAGAAGCGGTACCATATTCTTCAGTCAATAATTTTTGAGTTAAGGAAATTTGTGACTTTGGAGGCATGATCAAAGAAATCATGGAGGTACCGTTACCTCTAGCCAATTCTAAGGCTTTGATTAACTTCTTAATCTTCCAGATTTCAATATTGTTTTCAGCTGAATCAGACATTATGAATCTTCAATATGGTTAAAAAAATTTTTCGCTCAATGAGAAACTGTACACGATTTTTTGAGTGTTACCCGGATGGATTTGGGGGAATAAAGGGAGGTATAGTTGGTGTATGAATAGAGTTTCATAGAGTAATAACAAGAAATACGATTGAAATAAGGTCAATAAATATACTAGAGAAGGATTGATTCTGTTGAGTGACACGTAGATGGGTGAAATAGTGAAAAAGCCGAATATCGGAGTTTTGAGATTTTCACAAAAAGTTTTATCATCTACAAGTATATGTTAGTGATAATAACTTTTTAACTATATCAAGTCATCAAATCCATTGTACCATAATCCCATTCCCATAGATGGTTGTTTGCAGCCAAAATGCGACATTCAGATCTAAGACGACATCTTAGACATCCTCTACGCGAACACTCATTCTCAAACTTTAGGGAACAACGGGCCATATAGATTAAAACTCATTAAGTGGTTCTTTATAATTAATAAGTGAAAATTTTCAATTGAAAACTTCACATTAAAATATTCATACTATCCGTTCCATCTAATCGAGGTTTACTGATCATACAGACAATTTTCTGTTATTATTGAAGGGTGAGTAATCAGAGATATTTTTTTCCAATATAAAGAATGTCAGCTAGTAGTAAGTATTCTGATACTAATTCAGGAGTAAATCAAGGGACTAGCAGCGGGTTTGTTACCGGAGTCCAACCCTCACATCCCGGAGATCAAGAAGAACCTATGGCCAATATAGACGATGCTTATTCTAGTGATTCGGATGAAGATGATGTGATTGAACAGCCTCCAACAAAATCCAACAAACCTGGAAATAATGCTTTTAGACAACAAAGATTAAAGGCTTACAATCCAGTGTTTACTGCCAAGATGGTGGTACCATTGTTGTTGGTAATTGCCTTGATCTTCATACCTTTAGGAGCAGCTATGTGGTTAGCATCTCATAGAATTGAAGACTTCGCCATAGATTATAGTCATTGTGAATTATTGGCCAATAGAAACACTTTCACCGAAATTCCTGATGAATATTTACAATACAATTTAAAGAACAAGAACTGGGCTAAACCTCAATGGAAATTGGCTACTGATGAAGATCAAGATTTTGAAGATGAAAGAAATGTATGTCAAATCCAATTCAATTTAGCTGAAGGATTAAAAGCACCAATTTATTTGTTCTATAGACTTGAAAAATTCCATGCTAATCATCGTAGATACGTCATTTCATTCAGTGAAGAGCAAATTATTGGTCATGCTGCTAGTGAAGATACAGTTAAACACACATCAGGACAAAATTGTCAACCTATGTCAACTAATGATGATGGGAAAATCATTTATCCATGTGGTTTGATCGCCAATAGTTTATTCAATGATACTTTTTCTCATACTTTAACTGGTGTTAATGGTACTTCTGATGATTATAAAATGACTAATAAAGGTATTGCTTGGAAGAGTGATGCTAATAGATTTAAGAAAACTGAATATTCTCCTGATGAAGTTGTACCACCACCAAATTGGTACAAGAAATATCCAAAGGGTTATACTGAAGATAACATGCCAAACGTCGAAACTTGGGAAGAATTCCAAAATTGGATGCACCCAGCAGGTTTACCAACTTTCAACAAATTAGCTTTACGTAATGATGACGATGAGTTACCTGCTGGTACTTATCAAATTGAAGTTGGATTACATTTCCCTGTCTTACCATTCAAAGGTGGTAAATATATTTATATTTCTCAAAGATCTGTGATGGGAGGAAAGAATTATTTCTTAGGTTATAGTTGGATCGCAGGTGGAGGTTGTTGTTTCATTTTAGCCATTGCGTTATTAATCGTCAATGTTATTAAACCAAGAAAGACTGGGGATGTTAATTTATTAAGTTGGAATCGTGAAAGTTTCAAAGCTAATGAGTAAAATGTAAAATAGAGTAAATGTATAAACCAAGTTTCTTCTAATTTTCTAATATCCAAGTTGCTTGGATCTGTTGTCAAAATTTCTGCATTGTCCATAAAATCTATCTTGATAATGCATCAAACGAAAAATTTCAGCCACCAAAATTGCGCTTTGTCGGATCATCTCAAATATCGGCTATAAAAAAAGACACTCGAAGAAGTTGATAGAAGGACGTAAAATTTCACGGGAGATCAAAAGGAACCGAAAAGATCACCATAAATAATGCAAGACGAAAAGATAAACTATGCGAGAGAACGGAAAAACTTCGAATGCTTTACCGGAACCTTAATTTATCTGCAGTAAGCCTCATCGGAGAGAATCATTTACCTCTTTATTTTAGAAACTTATACCTTCATATTAGTAATCAATTATTTCCCCGTACATAAAGTGCCATAGTAAAAAATCACCGTTTATGGTTGTTGTGCGTTGGATCGGCTGTAAAACTGATTTTCTGGAAATTGCGATGGAAATCTGCCCCCAATAACCAACGGATATAAATTGATTTATCCCCAAGTTATTTTCTACCTTCAAATTTTTTTTATCCAATATAATGAGTTTACCTACAAAAAGCACCTTAGTTGCTGTTAACGAACCACCAACTTACGAAATCAATGCCACTTTTGATCAACCTGAATCAACTTTCAAAATTGTCGAAAAAGAAATCGGGGAATTACAAGATGGTCAACTTTTAGTTAAAAATTTATACTTATCCAACGATCCTACCCAAAGAGGATGGATCACCAAAAACCCAAACAGAGAAGCTATGTATGTTGAACCAATTGGTGCCAACGATATCATGAGATCTTATGGTTTAGTTGAAGTTTTAGATTCTAAATCTGAAACTCACAAAGTTGGTGATATCTACATGGGTACCACCTACTGGGGTGATAACGTTGTTGTTCCAGCTTTATTCTTATCCCTTAAAGTCGATAAATCCGTTCCATTACCATTAACTGCTTATGTTGATTGGGTTGGTGGTACTGGCTTAACTGCTTATTTCGGTTTATACGATGTTGCTCAATTAAAGAAAGAAGATGTCTTAGTTGTTTCAGGAGCTGCTGGTGCCACTGGTGCCATGGTCGTTCAAATTGCCAAACATCTTATTGGTGCTAAAAAGATTATTGGTATTGCCGGTGGTCAAGAAAAATGTGATTTTGTTAAATCTATCGGTGCTGATGAATGTGTTGATTACAGATCAAAAGATTTCTCCGGTGACATGAAAAAAGCTTTAGGTGAAGATCAAGAATGTGATGTCTACTTTGATGGTGTTGGTGGAGAAATCTTAGATCAAATGTTTTCATTTGTCAAAAGAAGAACCGGTGTTGTTGTTGCTTGTGGTGCCATCGCTGGTTATAATGATAGCTCTAAATTATGGGTTAAAAACTGGGGTCATATCATCACCAGAAGATTAAATGTTAAAGGTTTCATTGTTACCGATTACTTAGGTGAAGCTCAAAAAGCCATCCAAGCTATTGTTGGTGGTGTTAAAGCCGGTAAAATCAAAGTTGATAACACTCTTCATTTAGAAGATCTTTCAAAAGAATCAGAACCTCTTAAACAATTACCAACCATCTACAACAAATTATTTAATGGTGAAAAGAAAGCTGGTAAATTATTAACCAAATTAGCTGACCCAATCAATTAGGTTATCTAGAACCTTCTAATGTATATGACGTTCGATATTACCCCAAACTCTCAAGGCTTTTACTTTGACAATGACCAACCCTCTCATCCCACCACACAATGAAAAATCTCATGCTCAAACTACAATACATAATCGCACCCCGAAAGTTTTCTTCGATTACATAAGCGAGGTTTAGTTGATTATAAAGTCCGATGAGTTTGCTGTCAAAATCTACACTTCAAAAATGGTTTTACCTATTCCAAAAAATACAACTACTATCTATGTGAAGAACAGTCCTGATTCTGAAATCGTGGCCAAATTCGGTACACCTGAATCTACATTCGAAAAGAAGGTTGAACCAGTTCGTGAATTAAAGCAAGGTGAACTTCTTGTTAGAAACCTTTATTTCTCCAACGACCCAACACAAAGAGTTTGGATCACTAAAGATATTCCTCCTGAAGCCCTTTATGTTGATCCTATCAGAGATGGAGAACCTATGAGATCGTATGCAGTTGTTCAAGTATTGAAATCCAATGATCGCAAATATAAACCTGGGGATATCGCTTCCTCATTAACTTTTTGGGGTGACAATGTTATTATCCCTTCAAGTTTTGTGAATGCTAAGGTTTTCAAGTTATTGGGATTGCCATTGACTGCATATGTAGACGTAATTGGAGGTACTGGGTTAACGGCTTATTTCAGTATGTTTGAGGTGGCTAAATTGAAGAAATCTGATGTGTTGGTGGTTTCTGGTGCTGCTGGTGCCACTGGTTCAATGGTAGTACAAATAGCTAAGAAAGTTATTGGTGCTAAAAAAGTCATTGGTATTGCAGGAGGTGAAGCCAAATGCAATTTCGTTAAATCTTTAGGTGCTGATGAATGTGTTGATTACAAATCAAAAGATTTCGTTGGTGATATGAAGAAAGCTTTAGGAGAAGAAAAGGAATGTGATGTTTTCTTTGACGGTGTTGGAGGTGAAATTTTAGAACAAATGATGTTTTTGACCAAAAGACATGGTTTAATTGTTGCTTGTGGATCTGTCTCCGGATATAATGACCAAGGAAGGTCTTCAATTCGTACATGGGGTTTAATCACTACCAGAAGATTGAATGTTAAAGGTTTCATTATCATTGACTTCCTTTCAAAAGCTCTTAGAGCAGTTTTATGGTTAACCTGGTGGATTAAAAGGGGACACATCAAATATGATCCTAGCCATACTGAGATTGATGATTTATCCAATGACACCGATCCTTTGGATAAAATTCCTCTTGTTCTAAACAAATTGTTTAATGGAGAAAAGAAGAATGGTAAATTAGTTACCAAAATAGCTGACCCCCTTTGATGATTCAGCCCCTAGAACCCGCTCCTTATCTTATCCTTTCAACCAGGCTTGATATTTTGCAATATATGATTTGCTGAAGGTCACTCTGTTCGACATTTCCTACTTCACCAACTAGTATGTGTTATACTATTGATAGGTCCCACTCTCGGGAACAAAATATTCAAAGGTTGAACAAGACCCAAGTTCGTTGAAGAAAATCAACGACACTTTCAATTGACAGGAATTGTAAAGAATACCTAAAAATAACATCACTCATACAATCACTTGAGACGATTACTCATGGAATTTTATTAGTAAGTCTGGTTCGAAATTAACTCCGGTGGAGATAAATATTCTCAAACAGGACAAAAAGCCACCCGTCAGTGACATTTATTACTATTAATATCTCGGGTTTACCTCATTTGAGGAATGTCACAGACGGAAAAACGGAATTGTCGTTTGAAAACTTTCATTTTCGATTACATAATCAAGATTATACTTCCTTTCCAGTACACTTGTACGAATGGAAGTAGATAAGTTGACACATTATTAAGCCTGAATACCTTAACTTCGATTATATAAGCATAAGAATTAGATATGGTTTTTATGTCAAAGTCATTTTGACGTGCAGATTTGAAGAGGTATAAATCCTAGCAAATTGGCTAATGTTTGAATCAGTGTCCATTCATTGATTGACAAAACCAATAATTAAGGATAATAATCTATAAATTCTACAAAAGAACTTAATAAAAACTATGAGTTCCATCCCATCTTATATGACAACTATTTACCTCAACAGGAGTCCTGAAGGTGAAGTTAAAACCGATTTTGGTTTACCAGATTCGACTTTCAAAGTAATTAAAGAAACAGTTCGAGAATTAAAGGATGGTGAGCTTTTAGTGAAGAACCTTTACCTTGCCAATGATGCTGATCAAAGAATTTATATCAGAAAAGATATTTCAACTGGTGCTTTTGAGGAAGATCATGTTAAGGAGAATCATCCAATGATCTGTCATGCTGTAGCTAAAGTATTGAAATCCAAAGATTCTAAAGTGAAAGTAGGTGAATTAATTGCCTGTACTTCTCATTGGGGTGATTATGCCATTATTCCAGGGAAAAATGTTGAAACAGGAGTCATTGGTGCTCTTGGTTTACCTATAACTTCATATGTTGATACCATTGGTGGTACTGGTTTATATGCTTATTTCTCCATTTTTAATGCCTTTAAATTGAAAAAGGAACATGTATTAGTTGTTGGAGGTGCAGCTGGAGCCACTGGTTCGATCATTGTTCAACTTGCCAAAAACGTTATAGGAGCCAAAAAAGTCATTGGTATTGCGGGTGGTAAGTCTAAATGTGACTTTGTAAAATCTTTAGGAGCTGATGCTTGTATTGATTACAAAGACCCCAATTTTGCCGAGAAAATGAAGAGAGCTTTAGGTAGAGATGGTGAATGTGACGTATATTTTGATGGAATTGGGGGAAAGATCTTAGAAGAAATGTTCTTATTAACCAAAAAGAACGGTACCATCATTGCTGGTGGTTCGGTTTCTGGTTATAATGATGCTGATAAAGCCAAAATCAACAATTGGGATTTGATTACCTCTAGAAGTTTACATATAAGAGGGTTCGTCCTTGATGATTACATCAAGGGAGCAGTCAAAGCAGTATTATGGATCTCCTGGTGGGTTAAAAGAGGGAAAATCAACCCCAAATTGATTGATTTAGTCGACTTGACCAGAGATAACCAAGCTATTGAAAGAATTCCAGCCATTTGGAACAGATTATTCACTGGTCAAAAGAAAGGTGGTAAATTAATCACAAAATTAGCTGATTCATAGGTATCAGAAATGTTGAAAGAATGGCCCTGTAGTGATTTAGATTGTATAGGATTTGTAACACGTTTTCAATACGGCCTTCTTCTTTCAACTCTTTCACCATCAGTTCATACTGATTTTTTACGAACGGAGTGTTAAACAGTAATCTAAGTTCCGTCGATGTTTGGTGATTACTCCATTAGTCGATTTCCGATGATATATTTCGGCCGATACACGACAAATCTGATTAAAGCCTCTTATCAAGGCCAATTTGACACATTAAATGGAAGCCCTCACTTCCTAATATGAAGGATGGGCCAATATGACCATTTACGTTGATCCAGACGGAGACGGAGAGTCTCACTATAAAAAAACAGTCAAGTCCCCTTTCTTTTCATCAATTTATAGCTATATTTTTGATAGAGATTCATGACAAGCACTATTCCAGCATACACTTCAACAATACTCGTTAAAAACAGTCCCACTGGGATGATGAATGCTGGAGTTGGTGCACCAGACTCCACTTTTGAGATAGTCAGACAACCTTTAGGAGAATTAGCCCGTGGAGAAGTCTTGGTGAAGAACTTATACATCTCCAATGATCCTGTACAAAGGGTATGGATAGAAAAAGACATCCCTGAAGGTGCTGTATATATCACTCCAATCAAAGCTGGCGAGCCCATGCAATGTTATTCAGTTGTAAAAGTATTAAAATCGAACGATCCTCGTTATAAGACAGGAGATTTAGTACCTACAATGAGTAAATGGGGTGATAATGTTGTTCTTTCATCGATGATGGGTTCAAAAATCATAAAATCTCTTGGCTTTTCGTTTACCGATTACCTCGATGCTGTTGGAGGTACTGGTCTAGCAGCATACTTTGGATTGTTCGAGGTCGCTAAATTAAAAAAATCTGATGTTCTTGTAGTTTCTGGAGCTTCAGGGGCTACTGGGTCTATGGCTATTCAAATTGCAAAGAAGATCATAGGCGCTAAAAAAGTTATCGGTATTGCTGGTGGCCAGGCTAAATGTCAGTTTGTAAGATCTTTAGGTGCTGATGAATGTGTGGATTATAAAGATGGTGATTTTTCCAATAACATGCAAAAAGCGTTAGGAGATGATGAATGTGACGTCTTCTTCGATGGGGTCGGAGGAAAGATTTTAGATGATATGATGCTTTTGATCAAAAGACATGGGACCATCATTGCTTGTGGATCAGTATCAGCTTATAATACTACAGACTCTGCTATTTATAATTGGGGTTGTATAACCATGAGAAGATTACATGTTCATGGATTTGTTCTTCTGGATCACTATAACGATTTCTTCAAAGCTACCTTGTGGATGTGGTGGTACATTAGAAGAGGATACATTAGAGTAGATGAATCACAAACCGAGTTAGTAGATTTAACTGAAACTCCCGATGCAGTGGCCCAAATCCCCGTGGTATTCAATAGGTTATTCAACGGTCAGAAAAAGAACGGTAAACTAGTTACCAAGTTATCCGACCCCGTTTAATGAATGTTTGTTTCCCCCCCTGGACTCTTCGGTCTCAACTCTTTCGAATTCCCGTCTCTGCGAGTTTCCAGAGCAATTCCAAGATGTCGAAGGATGCAAATTATGCGGAACTCTTCTGTTGCAGCCAAAAGGTGCAAATTCGCGATCTGTAAACAAACATCTGTGGTAATGAAATTATGAGTGTAGATACTAGCAGTGTGAAAGAGAAGACACTAGGGAAGTATCGAGAGTCAGAAAAGGACACAGACTTTGATATAGAAGATACTGAGGATTTGGACCTTTCTTACTCCAAATTCTCCCACATTTCAGGCATTTCAGTATATAAATCTGGAGTAGAAGAATCTCCATTTGTGAAACAAATTCAAGATAGACTACAGGATATAAAGCATTTTGAAGATATAAGGGCCAATGGTAGCTTATCTTCTACTCAATTCAGTAACATATACCCCATTTCCGAACACCAGGAGATGGACCGAAGTAAAAATGATGAGAATATACCATTAAGACCACCCACCAGAACTAAAGGATTTGATACTCCGAGCAAGATAATATTACCAAAGACAAGAACCATAAAAAATGACATAACTGTGGTGACACCTACGGAGTCTACCCCCAGGCATAGAAACCAACGAGCGGCCTCAGTAAAAGTATCATTAACACCAGCTCAAAGAGTAGAGAAGAGACCTGGAACCAGACTGAAAAATGCATTGGAGAACTTTCAATTCGAAGAAATGGTTGGAAGAGGTGCATTTGCTACGGTATTTCGAGGTATAAATTTGAAAACTCAACAAGTAGTAGCCATTAAACAGATCTTATTGGAAAAGGATCAAGATGTACAAGAATTAATGGGAGAAATTGATTTGTTGAAAATTTTGAAACATCCAAATATCGTCAAATACCACGGTTTTGTTAAGAATTCGACATCCTTAAACGTTTTTTTAGAATATTGTTCTGGTGGTTCTTTAAGACAATTATATAAAAGAAAGAAGAGTGGACTACCAGAAACAGACATCATTAAATTCGTCAAATCAATATTGAAAGGGCTCAACTATTTACATGAACAAGGGGTGGTCCATAGAGATGTCAAAGCTGCCAATGTGTTGATAACTGAAACAGGAGAAATCAAGTTAGCTGATTTCGGAGTGGCTACTAAAGTGACTAATCAACATCAATCAGTTGTTGGAACACCTAATTGGATGGCTCCCGAAACAGTTCTAGGGGGTGAAGGTTTATGTACAGCATCCGACATATGGTCATTGGGAGCTACTACCATTGAATTATTCACTACAAACCCTCCATATCATGATTTGAATCCCATGGCAACCTTACATGCTATAGGTACTGACGATTACCCTCCATTACCAAAGAATATATCCTTGATGGCCAAAGATTTCCTATTGGAATGTTTCCAGAAACAGCCAAGTTTACGTAAACTGGCCAAACTACTATTAAAACATAAATGGCTAACACAAGATTTAACCAAACCCAGAACCATTCACCACACGATTATCGAAGAACCAACCCATAGCAGTATCAAATCCATCAATGAATATAGTGAGAAAATAGATGAGAACTGGGATAACGATTTCAATGATGTAACACCAATAATGGAATTGAAACCAGCCATAAGTTCATTGACTAAAACAGAAAAATTAAATAAGTTCTTGGAGACTGACGAAGTTAATGAAGAAATAACTGATTTCGATGAAGAAATGGGTAAATCCAAAGTTGAAACTAATGAACTTATTGAAGATATTGATCCTTTCTCCAATATTGAAATTGATAATTTCGATACCAACGAGCTCGAAATCCAAAGTAAGATGGAATTTCTTATCACCAAATTCTCCAAAAGAGTTGATTTAACTTATGATGGTAATGAGGAAGTACTCAACTCATTGATAAAAATCATTGGTAAAATTGCCCATTTGGTTAAGAAATATCCCATTCTGCATGATGTTTTGATCAGGGATCATGGTACAGTTTCTATCTTTGAATTATTAGAAAATTCCAATGAAAACAATCTTTCTAATACCCCGAACTTATCGAAATTATGGTATTACTCCCTTATAACTTTGAACTGTATTTTCGAAAAGAACCTCAATCAGTTTGAAAACTTCTGTTTGTTAGGAGGAATACCTATCATGACGAAGTTCAAGAATAATAAATTCGATGAGTCTATCAAATTACAAGTTGTGAGGTTTACTAGATTGTTTTTAAAGAGTGACAAAGGTCTTATAATGTTCATATCATGTGGAGGTTTGAGAGTGTTATCTAAGTTTGCTGAAGAAGATTTCGATACCAACCCCCAATTTGCTATAACTTCAGTTGATTTGGTTTATTCCATACTTTCAAAGAATCTTACGAGTTCGAAATCGGACATTTGTAGGAAATTATCTCACTATGGAGTATTTTTCTGGTTTACAGTTCTTTTGAATAGTCTTACTAAAGCCGATAATAGGAAATATGATGTCACCATCGATAAAATCATCTTTATCATCAAGTCCTTTGGTCAATCAGAAGTTAAAGTTAGGATTAATATCTCCAGTGGTGACTTATACAAATTATTATTGAAGTCATTCCCATTATTACCAATCAATCATCAACTAACAATGTTAAAATTTCTTAAATCCATGTCTCATATCCTGGAAATCTTGAAACATTTCCAATCAGCAGATATCTTAGAATTTCTTCTGTTACTCATTAAACAATACACCCCATCAACCAGTCATTATAAAGAATTTATCAATATCATTAGTGCTATCCTTTATAACTACTGTTATTTGAATCATTCCAAGGAGATAGAGTTAGTCAAATTAGGAATTTTACCTTATTTGAGAGATTTGTCTAGAATCAATTTACCTTTCAGACAATTTATACTTCCAATAATATGTGAAATGGTTTATTGTGATAATTTTGTCCGTTCAAATTTAATCAAATATGACATTTTAGACGTTTATCTTAACTTATTGATCGATCCTTATTGGCAAGCTAACTCCTTAGATTCAATTTTGAATTGGTATAAACACGATAAGCTCAATTTAATGAGTGCTAAAGCTATTGATTGTTTTATATCAGGATTTATGTTAAATAAAGTATCTAATCTAGAGCTGGCTTTAGAGAATTACTTGAAATTAATCAATCTTCATCCTTCCATCAGTAAAATGTTCATCAAGGATATCATCATTGACAATTTGATTGTCAAATTGACTATCAACCTCAAAAACCCCGTAGTTCAATTCACTTTATTAAAGATACTCAAATCTTTAGTTATGAATACTAAGAGAATGGCTATGGATTTGAAAGTATTTGATAATGTTAAAACTATCCTTATGACTTTAGAATCTCGTAAATCTTCATTATTGGTAGATGAATTAGCTTCTGAGGTAATTGATCTTGTAGAATAAACAATCTTCTTTTCTTTACTTCCCGTTGTTTATAGCTTTCCCTATTTTGAAGAGAGTAAATAATTGATAAGGTGAGGATGCTCACTTCTCAGTTTTGTCATTTCTCCAGATTTCGCATCATCAGCTTGTGACAATGATTCCCATATCCTACCCATCTCCAAGGGTATCTCAACTTGATGCTTACATCTTAGACTCAGAACTATTGTCATTACTCAAACAAAACCTCACATCCATATTCAATTTGCACAATAATCAATGGTGGACTTACGATCATCATCCTGAATTATGGGACTTAATACTTAATGTTATAGTATTCCGTCTAACTACGTGGAAGAACGGATCTTCTTATGGATTATCACTTCAGAATTTAAAATTGGTAAATTTCAGAAATGGTAGGAAGATAGGGTTTACAAAAAGATCATTATTATTAGGATTTATCATCGGGGATTATATGTTTTCCAAATTCCAATCATATTTATACTCTGATCAACAATCTGAACCTTCAAACTTCACCATTATCAATTCCATCAAACAGTTCATCTTTCGTCATAAGAATATCATCCTCACCAAGGTAAACAACAGTTTAAAGGTATTAAATCTTATCAATTTCCTATTATTCTTGATTAGTGGGAGATACCCATCATTAATTCACAGAGTATTGGGAATATCCTTAACACCTGTGGTATCAGATCTACTCAAATTCAATGGTGATAATGTTAATTTCGAATTCCAGAATCGTCAATTAGTATGGAATGTTATGACGGAATTCTTAGTGTTCATCTTACCATTATTACAATTGAAGAAGTTAAGGAAAATGTCACAGAAACTTTTACTGCCTTACAAGAAAGATGATGTTCAACAAGCGCCTTTATCAAATTTACCAGTGTCACAATGTGCCTTTTGTTTCTATAATAAAGAAAGAGCATTATTAGCAGGAGAAAAGAAAATAGCATCAGTATCGACCAATATTACCAACCCCCATATCACCAACTGTGGCCACATATATTGTTATGTGTGTCTTGCATCATTATTCAGTGCAGCTGATGCGTATGATGGGTTCGATGGATGTCTTCGTTGTGGAGAGAAACTACAATGGTTCAAGAAGTATGGGGAAGACGGAGATATCGACGAAGATGCTATATTGGTAGAGTATGAAGAAGTTGAGGAGGAAGATCCCAGCGAAGAAGAAGAAGAAGACGAAGACCACCACCACCACCAAGAGTATAACGAGAAAACAGATAATTCAGAATCGGAAAATGAAAGTGAATTTGAATTTGATCAAGAACAAGCATTTGATGAAGATGGAGGAGAAGAAGAATTCGAAGAAGAGTTTGAGGATGACCTTGATACTGCCATGGAATTATAATCTATACACCTAATTAATGATATTCAATAAAATCTTAGCCCCTTTATTGTCACCATCTTCAGATAATTGTTTCTTTATTTTCTTAATGGCACCAGTTAATTCTTTCAATTTTTTGTCATTAGAAGCATCTAAAACTTCATAAATAGCTACGATAATAAATGATCCTTGTCCACTACACCAATCTTGTAATTTATCATTACTTAAGATTTCATCCATAACTCTTAAAGCAAATTCTTTACCAATACCTGGTATTTCTGAACCTTCAACTTTGATTAATTTCTTCTTCTCTTGATTGAATTGGAATTCATTACCATGAATCAAGGATTTGATAGATCTTGAAATGAAAGGTACTTTATTCAATAAATGGAAATCTTCCAATACATCACCTTTAATAACAGCATTAAAGATTTCATCGATTAATTTTGGTCTTAAATCATCATTGACTGATTCTAAATCTGTTGGAGTTAAAATTAATTCAGTTAATGATTGAGTAGCTAAATTTGATGATAATATCTTATCAATTGAAGTATCATCATTTTTAAAACTTTCAAGCATATTCTTATATATCTTAGGTAAAGATTTGGTTAATAATTCTTCTCTTCTTTGATCTTGAGGTTTCTTTGAAGTCTTTTGATAAGCCAAAGTCTCATATCTGTTTAATTCTTTTTTAACAAGAGGGTTAAAATATTTCCCATCTAAACCTTTTAATAAATATAATAAAGGTCTTCTACTGAATTTTCCTTGAATGAGTTCAGGTAATAATTCAGGAGTGAATAAATCATTATCGAAATTTTTATGTAAAGAAACAGTATCATCAACAGTCATGAAAAGAGTAATTAAAACCAAATTTCCGTGTTCGTTTTTAATTAAATCTTTATTATGTTGTTTTAAAGTTTTCATTATGGTTTTTCTTTCTTTAGCATTAGCCATAGCAATTAAACAACAAGCTACTTCACTACCTTCAGAAGTATGAACTAATTCAGCAAATTGTTCACCTAATAATTCTTCAAATTCTCTGATTTGTTTATCGAATTCTTCTATATCTGATGATAATATAGTGATATATTCTTTCATAGCCGCATGTAAAATTTGGAAACCAGTTGATCCTTTTTCAACTGATGCTGTGATAGTACCATTTAAATTAGCTAAGATTAATTGTTTCTTCTCAGCTGATTCTCCAATAATGTCTAAAACAGTTTTATCTTTACCACTTTCTTTGAAAACAGCATATTCAGCTCCCCAAAATTCTCTGATCATTTGTTGTCTTTGTTCACCAGTAGAATATAAAACGAATAAATCTTCTACAACATAAGCTCCTTCTCTATGTCTCATTAACTTTCTTAATTTACCATGTAATTCATCAACAATTAATGCTCTAGATTCTTTAGATCCATAGTGTAATAATTTGATTAATAAGTATTTTCCATAAGATGAAGTGGCTAATTGATAGAAGTTTCCTTTCAATGATTTAACAATGATTTCTCTTCTTTCCTTAGATGCATATTTAACTAAAGTTTGAACCACTCTTGAAGCATCATGTTTCATGACTAAATCCAAAATAACTCCATTAGATAATTCCCATATTTCATTAGTTAACTTTTCTCTGACTTGTTTTGGTGGTGGAGGTTTATTAACTCTTAATCTTTCCCATAAACTCTTAATTTCTTGAACTTGAACACCAGATTTTCTCTTTAACTTACGTTCAGCTAATAATTTACGTTGTTCAGCATGTTGTTCTTTTGATGATTTTTTATTAGGGTCAGTGGAATTTTCTTTATCTTCTTCATTATCTTCGTTATCACTTTGGTCTAATTCATCTTCACTTTGATCTAATTCGTCTTCACTTTGATCTAACTCATCTTCACTTTGATCTAACTCATCTTGGGATTCTTCACTGACTTCACTTTCATTAAATTCGTTTTCACTACCTTCACTTTCACTATCGACTTGAGCAATTCTAGCTTTCTTCTTACCGTCACTTACGGTTTCCAATGATCTTTTAGATCTGACTTTAGAACCCATAATGTATGTAAAATAAGTTTTTTTTTTGCGATGGTGAGATGAGGTCGATTACACGACTCTTAAGTATGGGGATTTAAGAGTTGGAGATTTTTATATTTTTAACGAAGTATTTGGGAGTTGAAAGTATTGAAGAGTCTTTAAGTTGTCAAAGGAGTATAGAGTTGTTTGTCTGAGTCGAAAAATTCGAAAAATTTCACTATAAGTTACATCATTTGCAATAGCTGCAAAATCCGATATCAATCAACTTTTTTTCCTTCATTTTCCTGTATTTCCTTTCCAAACTAACACCAAATCCATCTGCTGATCATCCTCTTTCCAATGAAACTATAACCGTTCCAAAAACTCCTACCGAAAAAAAGTCACCTAAATCTCTCCCCCCACCATAGTGAGAAAATCTCATTTCTAATCATGTTCAAAATCAATCCAAGATCAATCAACTTTGCCAGATCCTTTAGTCAAAGCTTAAGACTCAGACAAGTTCAAGAGATAGAAAGTGTTGACCAATACAGAAAATTGATAGCCAATGAAGGATTAACTTTCATTGATTTCTATGCTACTTGGTGTGGTCCTTGTAAAGCTATCGAACCAATTATCAACAAATTATCAGAAAAAGTTCCAGAAATCTCCTTTGCCAGAGTAGATGTTGATCAACAAACTGAAATTGCTAAAATCAATGGAATTTCTGCTATGCCTACACTTATCTTATACAAAGATGGTGGTCCATTAGATGGTGTTATTGGTGCTGACATCAAGAAAATCATGGAAAAACTTTCATTACACTCTGGTAAAGAAGTCAAATTATAATTTTTTAGTTAAGAAGTATAGTTGTTGTATTTAGGTTGAAGGACTTTCTTCCCAATTCTCTTTCATAAAACTCTTCTTCACTTTATGTCAAAAAAACTATGTCACGTGATCCAGATCTTTTAAATAATGCGAAACTCGTCGGTGGCAATATCAAACTTATCAGCACAATGGTATGTACTAACGTTTAAAATCCCGTCAATTGGACACCAAACTCCAATAATTTACATCCGTATAAACTAATACTAACTATTATTAGGGTCAAGCTCCTTCAGGAATGCCAGGAGGCGATGGTTTCGGTAAAAAGAAAGATGATAAGAAGAAAGAAAAACCAAAGTATGAACCTCCAGTAGAGTCAAAATTCGGTAAGAAAAGAAGAAAGGGACCAGATACCGCCATAAAATTACCTAATGTTTACCCTAGTACAAGATGTAGATTAAAATTATTGAAATTGGAAAGAATTAAAGATCATTTATTATTAGAAGAAGAATTCGTTACCAATCAAGAAGCATTTCAACCCACAGAAGCCAAACAAATCGAAGAAAGAGAAAATTTGGATGAATTAAGAGGATATCCTATGTCAGTTGGAAGTTTGGAAGAAATCATTGATGATGATCATGCCATTGTTTCAAGTACTGCGGGATCAGAATACTATGTATCTATTATGTCATTTGTTGATAAAGGATTATTAGAACCTGGATGTACGGTGTTATTACATCACAAAACCGTAGCTGTGGTTGGGGTTTTACAAGATGATGCCGATCCAATGGTATCAGTAATGAAATTAGATAAATCACCAACAGAATCTTATGCCGATATTGGAGGTTTAGAATCACAAATTCAAGAAATTAAAGAAGCTGTAGAATTACCTTTAACACATCCAGAATTATATGAAGAAATGGGGATCAAACCACCAAAAGGGGTGATTTTATATGGAGCTCCAGGTACTGGTAAAACATTATTAGCAAAAGCTGTTGCTAATCAAACAAGTGCAACATTCTTAAGAATAGTAGGATCAGAATTAATTCAAAAATATCTTGGTGATGGTCCAAGATTATGTAGACAAATTTTCCAAGTTGCAGCTGAACATGCTCCATCTATTGTTTTCATTGATGAAATTGATGCTATAGGTAGTAAAAGATATGAATCATCATCAGGAGGTGAAAGAGAAATTCAAAGAACCATGTTGGAATTATTGAATCAATTAGATGGTTTTGATGATAGAGGAGATATTAAAGTTATTATGGCCACTAATAAAATTGAATCATTAGATCCGGCTTTAATTAGACCAGGAAGAATTGATAGAAAGATTTTATTCGAAAATCCTGATTCAAATACCAAAAAGAAGATTTTAACCATTCATACATCTAAAATGAGTTTATCTGATGATGTTAATTTAGAAGAATTAGTTACATCTAAAGATGATTTATCAGGTGCTGATATTAAAGCAATGTGTACTGAAGCAGGGTTATTAGCTTTAAGAGAAAGAAGAATGCAAGTTACTGCTGAAGATTTCAAACAAGCTAAAGAAAGAGTTTTGAAGAATAAAGTTGAAGAGAATCTTGAAGGTTTATACTTATAAATTCATACATTCACAACATATATATATAGGTTAATGGTCCATACTTATAATCCAAATCTCTAATCTCTGAGATCTCTAGTTTTCATTTCTATTATTGAGGATTCTTAAAATGAATAAGAATAAGTTGATGATATCCAAATATAATTTCAAGGTAGCAGGGATCTCATCATCTAAATGACAAGTTTTCAATATTTCTTGAGTATCAATTAAGATGTAAACACTGAAGATGATGGCACCAATCCCACTATAGATCAAATTAGCAAAAGATGATTGTGGGAAGAACATCATTAAGAAACCCCAACCAATTAAGAACCAAAGACCTAAAGATGCAACACTTTGCCAACTTCTGAAATCATATTTACTTTGGAAAGCAAAAAGTGTCAAACCAATGAATACAACCAAGGTTAGCATTAATGCTTGGATGACGATTTCAGATTCAACTAATGAACAAGATAATCCAATTCCATAACTTTCACATAATGTGAAAGCCCCTAATAATACCAAATTTATAGGATAACTTCTAGCTTTGATATGGGTGGCAATTAAGAATCCAAAAGATCCTACGATAGAAACAATGAATAACCAGAAGTTGTTGAAACACCAGTTCTGAATAGTTGTATTCGAACGGATAACAAATCCCACTACCACAGTAGCTAAGATTTGAGCTGTTAATAATGAATACACCTTACGAATGAACATTTGACGTACAGGCAATTCACATGATGCCACATCAACAGAATATTTGAAATCATCAGGAACATTGTCACCTTCAGTTCTGGCTTCAGGGTTTTCACCATATGGTGGGGGTTGTGTAGGAACAGCAGTGTAACTCATGGGGAATAAATGATCAGTGCGAAAAATAACTGAAGTTTTAAGAGTGATGATGATGAAGAGTTGAGTGTTTAAGAAGGATGTTTTGGGGGGTTTTAAAGATGAGATGTGGAATTCAGGGTGATAATTCACAGCTACGAAGTTTTTTGGGGTTTATAGGGTTTACGTACGATGAAATAGAGATAAATCAGTCAAAATTCCATTAAAATTTTCCCTATCGAAACCTTATGAAACCTCTTCCTCCTTAGAAAGACGCACAGCTAATAAAACCATAATTTTTCCGAGTCCAAAATTCAATAAACAAAAAAACTGTGTTTTTTGCAACCATTTGCGAAATTCATAATTCAACCCAAAGTAAGCCAAAAGTCTCTACACATAACATATAAAATAATCATTAGAAAAAAATACCCATACCTTTATTAACTATATACATAATGCTAGAAGTACATCTGATGTCTAATTTGGTCAAACCCTGGTTAACATCCATCAAACACAATCAAAGTTTCTTGTCATGATTTTGGCCGAGAGGCTGAATCTCAGGGGTCATCTCAGGCTGTAATTCCGGATTCACATCCAGGCTTGGTGGTTGTACCTTCTTATTGATTTTCATCCTCAATACCAAACTATTCTTAAACTGTACATGTTTCCTACACAAAGGACATAACCCAACACCTCTTCGTCTAGTTTGCCCCCTCGCAGTTGATGATGATATACTTTGTTGTAAACATTCCAAACAAAATATATGACCACAAGAAGTAGTTGTAGCATTAGTTATCTCATCAAAACATATAGGACATTCTATATCTCCTAATTTCTTAGTAATCTTATGACCAGTTCCATTTATAAGATCATTAGTTTGATTACGAATTTCAAGTAACTGAACTTCCCCATCACTCTCATCAGATAAATCCACTACTTCAACCTCCGACATCCTCTTAATTTTTTCAAATGTTGTTAGATGTAATAAAATCTCTTTAGCCGAATTCCTGCCGTTTTTAAAATCTATGATTATGGTTTCCGCACTGTCCCCCCAGTCGCAGTGGTCAGGAGTGTAAATTGAAAAATTTCAGGGAACATTTCCAACAAAACAATAAGATTGGATAGGTGAAATTATTTTCATATCGAATTTTCTTTGTTGATTACTATCTTTATATACCCATTAAACCATCGGTAACTTTGAAAACAAGCATTAGGTTCAAATAAGGTGATTAGTTGAATTATTATATATTGAGACCCTTAAAATAACCAGTAGTGCTTTAAGTTTAATTTAAATACTTTTCAATCCGAAGTTTTCAATTCAGGAAAATTCATTTATCATATATATTTGATTAAATAACATATTCAAAGGATTAATAGGGGAAAAACCTCGAGCATTTATATTAAAAAACAAGGAAAATGGTAAAAGATCATAGTAATCCTTTATCGGTAGCATTACCATATCAATTCCAATCACCTGATGATTACCCAACAGAGATATTAGCTACTAGATTTCAAGCTTGGAGAGCTATTATCAAAGATCTTGTTAATTATATGAGAGAATATGCTAGTGTTCAAGAAGAGATTGTTCGTCAACAAATAAGATTACAACAAGCTGTTGGGATTTCTGCTAAATCTATAGCTGTGAACCATGGTTCAAGCAATGGTCATAGTGGCCATAGAGATCATTCCAGTAATAACAATTATAAAGAAGTTGATGTGGATGAAATCAATAGATTCTTTTTACCTATTGGTAATGGATCTATTCAAGATTTACCCACTATTTTAACTAAATTTCATCAACAAAATGTCAACAACTCTTCCAAAACATTAAAAGAATTGAACAATATCATCATTCCTAAGTTGGAAGAATTAAGAAAAGATCTTTTGATCAAAATCAAAGAAATTAAGAATTTACAAAATGATTTCAAAAATAACTTGAACAAAGAATTGAATGAAACTAAGAGTTTATTATCACAATATTATCAATCAGTTGAATTATCCAATAAGTTAGAACATGGAAATCATCATTTCAATGATTCTAATGATGTGGTGAAATTTGATCCATATCTCATTAAGATCAAATTAGATCGTCAAATAAAGAAACAATTACAAGAAGAGAATTATTTATTCCAAGCTTATGAGAATTTGCAACAAAGTGGTGGGAAGTTAGAAAGTATAATTGTCATTGAAGTACAAAATTATTTAACTACTTTCTTAAACTTATTGAATGAAGAACATTCAACTATTCCTAATTTCTTATTACCAAATTTGAATAATGGGTTCTTATCTAAGGAACCAACGTTTGAATGGGATTCTTTCATTGCTAAGAATATCCCATCACCAAATATTGGTGTTTCTGCTTTAAATAATTCTTCTTCAAATGTTAAAAATGGAACTTTTGTCGATTTAAATTTTGGTTCTAGAAAATTTACTGATTTAGTTATCAATAATTATAACACACCTTTGAATTTAGCTGTGAGAGAAGGATATTTGGAAAGAAGATCAAAATTCTTGAAGAATTATTCTCGTGGTTGGTATGTTTTAACCTGTAACTTTATTCATGAATTTAAGACCAATGATCGTAAGAAAGATCAAATTCCAATTTTATCCATACCTTTAGATAGTTGTCAAGTTAGTGAACGTTCTAAAGATGATGGGAAGAATAATGGAACTTATAAATTCATTTTAACATCTAAACTGAGTAATGGTTTAATGCATAGAAATCAAAATTGGGTATTTAGAGCTGATACTTATGAAAGTATGAAAGATTGGTATGATGATATCAAAACTTTAACTTCATTACCTAACCCATCAGCCAGATCAAGACATGTTAATAAGAAATTGAAATTAGAAACTCATTTGAATCCTAACTTAGTTAGTAAAGTTTCAAGAACTTCTAGTATGTTATCTACTGGTACTACTAAAACTAATAATGTCAATACTTTGAGAACTTATGATACCAATCAAAGTAAAAAATCAACTGCCCAAAACAGATTATCATCAACATTCTCCAGTAAGAATCCAGGTAGTCCAAGATTGAATCATTTAATCAATAGTGATGGAACTATAATAACACCTATTGAATCTAATGATATGACTAAACCTTTAGGTACTCCTAGAAGTCAATCCACTTCACAATATAATCATATGGTTGCTAATAATATTCATCAACCTACACCTCAACCTCAACCATACATTTTACCACAATCGTTACCTCCACAACAACCACAACCTCAACAACAAAATCAAACTCAACCAATTTCAATGGTTTTACCTCCAAACATGATCCCAAATTTCCAACAAGGTTATTACGTAAGTAATGGTCAAGTTCAACAATTTTACGATCCAAATCAACAACAATATTTCACCATTCAACCTCAACAAAATCAAGGTGGTCCTCAACCCCAATATTTCCCTACCAGTCCACAACCACAACCACAACCACAATTCACCTCATCTTCACCTAATCCTCAACAAGGATATTTCTTTGTTAATCAAATGCAACCATCTCATTCTCATGACTATTCCTTTGGTGGTAATTTACCTTATCCAACCGATGAAGCTCACCCACAAGTTCCACCTTCAGATGTATCTCAAGTACCTGAAATCCCTCAAGTACCTGAAACACAAGCTCCACAAGCCTCACAAGCCCCAGCACCTGAAGTTCAAATCTCGGAATCTCAACCACCTGAAACTCAAGAAAATTCCATAGTTCCAGAAACTACTGTTGAAACTTCAGAAACTGTAGCTGAACCAAGTGAAAAATTAGAGAAATTGGAAATCAATGATAAAGAACCCCAATCTAACGGTACTATTTAAGATTGTAAAACTAATGTAACAATAAATGTCATCTTTTTTTTTTCTTCTTCTTTCAATTCTAAGTAAAGAGATCTTTTGGAGATATTGTTCGATTATATATTGGTAATGCTAAATGTACATTCAATTTTTAGTGCCCAAAAACTCTAAGCGACAACACCTGAGTTAGAAGCAATTCTTGGCCATAAATCAGCACATTCTTTGGCAACTGGACCAGTGATAGCTGAACCTTTCATTTCACCTTTTGGATTAACAATAACACCGGCATTATCTTCGAAGTATAAGTAAACACCATCTTTTCTTCTCCATGGTCTTGATTGTCTGATTACTACAGCTGGCATAACTTTCTTTCTTAATTCTGGTTTACCTTTTTTAACAGTAGCCATAACCATATCACCTGGGGAAGCAGCTGGTAATCTGTTTAATCTGGCACCGAATCCTTTAACGGATAAGATATATAAGTTTCTAGCACCTGAGTTATCAGCACAATTCATAACGGCACCGACTGGTAAACCCAACTAAAAAATTGTTAGTAATTTGCTCATCTTGAAAATTTTTTGGATTACAGTTGAATGATGGTTTACGGTAATAAAATCTAGTTCTTATTAACTCTGATTAAACACTGGAGGTGTCACTATAAATACCACATTGATAATATGATGTTTGATGGTGTTGGATCATCATTAAAACTCATTACTTTCAATACATTGAAAAATCTCTGTATACATGTATTTCAACCAATATGTTCACTTAAAACCTCTAGTCTTAATCATTCAATATTCATTCATCCAAATACTTCATTTCTTATATTATATTTACATACACTCATACGAAATTTAGTTCCTTGAGACATGATTTAATTAATTAATCTACTTGAAGATTTGAAAATTTTTTTTCTTCACTTGTGAGGTTTCCTGCTCTCATCAAAAGTCGTGCGAGAAATGTCAATTTTTCTTAGTGAATTCCAGGGCCGGTGCCCTAAGGTCGCACAGAAACAGTCCTCACCAGTACCTTACCTAAAATGGGTGAGATGCCGCCAAAAAGCCGCTCGCACCAGTTTAACCAAACCCATATTAACAAGATGACTTCAACACAACAACAAGATTTAAGTATCTTTAAGGATAATACTATAGTAAGTGATCATATATTGACTTCACCCAATTCATATTTAACTTTGATTTCTCATGTTGAAGGAACCCAACCCACTTGGTTGGTGAATTCATTGATTGAAAGTTCACTACAAGGAACTTCTACTTTGGTTAATAAAGATTTAAACAGGAAACTTATCAACAGAAGTGAACTTTATATGATATCTTTCCTCAATAATGAAGATTATTACGTCAGAAATTGTAAAAAGAATGGATTAGACTTATCAAGAGAAAGTAAATTCAAATTCATCGATTGTTTCACAGATTTATTCACTAAAATCATCACCAACCCCGAAAATGCCATTGCTGATATCGACAGACTCTTTGAGTCCATTTTCAAACAAATATCGACATCTAAAAGTGATAAAAAGATCATAATTTTGGAAAGTCCTGAAATACTTCTCGCATCTACCAACATATCATCCATAAAGTTGAATAATTTAATCTTGAAACTCAATAGATTATGTCGTAACCTTTATATAATAACGTCACACGATCATCCTCAAATAGTTGATGTTAATAATCAAGATATCAATGACCCAGCATTCGAAACAACTGACTTCTTGATTAAATTACATTACAAATCCAATGTTAACATTCATTTCGAACCTTTAACCACAGGAAGAGCCGATGATATCACTGGGATTCTAACCGTATCTAAAGGTTCATTGCCTTTCAAAGAGAGTACAATCAGTATTAATGAAAAGAGTTATACTTATAATGTATCGAAAGAATCCAATATTAAAATATATTTCAGGTAGTTAACGCTTCTTCCTATGGATATTATATAGATCATCTAATGCAAATTCAATGGAACATCTTGTCCATAATAACGGGAACAATGGCCACACTGATCTCTCACCCACTAATATCCAATAAGGTATATTCTCCATAGTTTTATGCACATCGAAAACCCTACCAAAATCCTGAAGGAAATATCGTAATTCTGGCACTATAGTAATCTCTCTGATACTAGATAAGGCTTGAGGGAATGAAGGTTTTTCATCAATGAAGAATCTTTTTAAAGTATCAGATAAAAGACCTAATTTATCCAATAATTCAAGACGATGTTGGATCTCCATCCCCATAATATTCTTAAGGTGTTTAATGATAGTGAATCCACCATCTTTGTAATAAACTTCACTTGCCAGACTCTTATATAAATAATCATCACCATTTTCATCATCTTCAAATTCACTATCTTTCTCATGTGCCTGAAATATAGCTTTTCGAGTGGTCAACTTATGATATCTGGTTCTACCATAATCATTAGAATGTTTCAAATCATTGGAAATGAATGGTGCTAGGTAAGGGCGGGCAAGACATGTTATGAAATGATTCACATTAAATAATTCTGTCAATCTTACGTAAGCAGATTTTGCTTTAAAGTTGAAACTGGAATCTGAATAATTGTCCTTAGATTGGCTCTTGAAGTAATGTTGACTATAACTAACATCTTGAGGTTTCAAGAATTTCACATTCAATGATTCGTTCTGTAAGACGATATTGTTATTAAAATCCTTCACATAAAGTTGAACATTATCTGAAAGGACACCAGTTCCAATAGATGCGTAAATGGCTGTCCAAATAATTACATTAGGAGATGTTATGTAGTTCAATAACGAAGGTACTGAAGGGTCAGTAGGGTGAATTGCTATGTTCAATACCTTCTCAGTCTTTAAATAAGCTTCTTCGAACGTTAAGTCTCCAATAGTATCTCTTACAAACTTCAAGAATAACAAGATATCTTGAGAGTAACCTTTTTTAACCACATTTTCAATAACGTTCCCATAACGTTCATCAACATCATGATTCAATCTATCAATATTTCCCATAACATCAGCTATGGAGATTAAAATGGGAATCAATTCATCATCATTCAATGCACAAACCAAAGAAGCTACAGCAGCACCCACAGCACTACCTCCGATGATTCTGGGTAATAAACCTTTGAAATAAAGGGCTTTAACAACTCCCAAATGACATAATCCAAAAAGTGATCCCCCTTGTAAGATCAATGCCGTACTACCAAAACTTTGTCTAGCATCATGAAAGAAGTCCAAAGTCAACTGTTTACTGTTCATGACGTAATCGGTATTACTGGATTCATTATTCATTATTATGGAATCATTCAAATAATTAAGACAGTTCAATACTTCACCAATATATTCCTCGATTTTGAACTTTGTTCCCATGTATGACTTCATGTATAACTTCTTCTGAGATATTCCACCGAAGTTTCGGATTAATCCTCCTCTTAACAAGGACATTATCAACGAAGAATCCTGGTTTATCCTTGCCTTTCTTAATAACTTGGTTCTTTCGTCTATTAAAATATAATCGTAATGTTTTGAAATGAAATTCTGTCGCCAGAGATCCAAATTGGTCAACTTATCAATCTCTATCACCACTTTCTTCCATTCATTATAAGTTTTAACGTTCTTAAGATGTTTGACATATTCCTTAAGTGGGTCTTTACTATAGTAAACTTGATAGATTTTTTTCACCCAAAAGAAGAATATATCCAACAAGAATTCTATAATAACCCATATGAACGACGGGGTATGATTTACCACAAACGCAACGATAGGAAGAAGGTATCTTTGACCGTAATGTTTTATCATAAGATAAGGTTGCAAAAGTGCGAAGCCAGCCAGAATGTGGGGACTGGAACCGAGGGCGCGATGGACATGGTGAGCCCATGCCAGTGCCTCGCCGCGCAACACCTGAAGAGAAAGTTCCTAATTTATATAAAAACATACTAACTTGATCTCATTAATTTCTTACTACGGTTAAAGAATTTCTTACCCAAATTAGAAGCATGTAATCCTCCATGTTCAACCTTATCTCTAACACTAGAAACTCTACTTCTTATCGAAGTATGTCTTCTCAAATCATTATGTGCTGCATTTTGATAAGCTTGTGATGCTATCTTACCAATATGCATACTAGAAGAATTGTCTGATTTCTTAAGTGTTTCACTCAACCAAGTTTGTAATCCTGTGTCGTAATCGGTCTCTTTCTGAAGAGCATCTCTCAATAAATTGATTCTATCAATAGACTGAGAAGGTTTCATGATGGTTTTCCAATTGGAAACAGGATATGCTTGAGGTGGGAATGTTTTCTTGGTACTTTGAGTAGACATTGTGGGGGTATCACTAATAACTCTTTTATGAATAGCTACACTTGGTGCAATGGATGATGAAATATCTCCAGTACTGGTATCCTCATATAATGTAGATTTGTCTGCGGTCGTAGTAGCATCATCATCATGACCACCTAATAAGCTTGAATATCTTTGTTTAGGTAAGCTTTCCTTGGATTCGATAGTTTCGTGGAATCTATTATCATAATCGTTTTCTTTCAAGATGGAGTCGGTGGAAATGGTACCGATACCTAAACCACTACTTTCATTAGTATCATGACTACTGGAAAATGTCTCGTCGTTGTCATCAGGATCTTCATTAATACTAGGTAAAGCAATATCCACAGTTTCGGGCACTGAAGCATTACTCATGAATGACATGGCATCTGAAGCATTAGAAACATTTCTCATCTTAGTAAAGTTTTGGTATCCTTTATTACTATCATTGTCCAACACGAGATTGAAATTAGATTCATTATCATTATCGTTAATAAATTGATCACGGAAATTGGTAGTATTTGGTTTCCAAGTCCCCATATTGAAGGTGTTAGTACTCATAGTAGAATCCCTTCTCATGAGTTCTTCACGTCTTAAATCTTTTTCAAAATTTGGAGGTTCTGAAAAATCTCCTTTTTGATCAAATGAATGTTTTCCTGTGGATAAAGATCCCGATGACACCACTGGGTGTAAGTCTTCAGGTTGGAATTCTTGAGAAAGATGTTTTATTTGAGGAGAATCCGATTCTGATGGTGGTTCTTCTTCCACGGGTTCTTCCTTATGTTCGCTTTTATCACTCATATAAGCATCAACAGCATCACCAAACGAACTATAACTTGGTGAATCAAGTGGAGGTTCTACTATCAAAGGAGGTTTCCTGACTGATGTTTGACGACTAGTGGTGCTTGCAGTCTCACTTCCTATAGGGGTTGGAGGTTTCCTTATGGATGGCTTATGACCACTTAATTGATTGACAAAATTTTCATGATAAGTCTTTTCCTCTACAGTTGAAAGTGGAGCTATTGGTGTGACATTCTGATCTTCCTCATCATCATCAACATAATCGTAGTAATCATAGTTATTTTCGAAATCGGGCAAGGAAACATCATTCTCAATAGCTGGTAAAACAGTATCGTGGATTGAACTATTCTGCAAGTCGTTAATGAAAGAGTCAAGATATTCATCTTTGCCTTCTTCCTTATCGGTATCATCCTTTTCAGAATTGTTGAAGGATTCATCGTGTGGTATGGCAGTCTTCTCATAATATGGAATTGGATCGTCCTCAGAATCTGAAGATTCGTTGAAGTTTCTATGATCTATTGACAACACCAAATCTGGTTTCTCTTGCTCTGATTCGTAGTTGGCGTCAGCTTCTTCATCATATTCCAACTCGGCATCTTCAGGAACTTCGGGTTCATCAACTTCCAATTCGCCAGCTTCTGGGCCTATTTCAGGCGAAGTTACTCTTTCTTGGGCATCTAATTCCATTGGTTTCCCAGCCACTTCATCTTCCTTTTCCGAAGGATACTCGGCGATGATATCATTATAGCCGAACAGTTCGTTCTTCTTATGTAAACTTGCAACTCTAATATTAGCAGGTTCGTTTTGGATGGAATCCGTATCAGATTGGAAGCTTCTTTCCGACATAGGAGTTTCTGGTTGTGAATTTATACTGACACTACGATTACTGTAGGTAGCAGAAGGTGGTTGGAACTCTTCATTAGACTTGTGGACTAAAATTGTTTGTTTAATAGCACCTTCATGATCTTCAATAGGTTTAGACTTCAACGACACCGTGTCATCAGAATCGTTATCAGAATCTTCATTCAACTTGTCAATTGATAGAACTAATGGTTCGTTCTTCTGGGGTGAAGTATCAACCTGTTCTTCTTCGGCAATTTTATCTTGTGGTAAAACGAATCTTTCAGCCACAACATTATCGGTTGGTGAATTCTTGACTTGTGGTTCTTCATCTGATCCCGAACCACTACCATAATCATATTCGTCATTCCATTCATCCCCATACGAAGGTACAGATGCTCTAACCCATCTAGTGGACTTATGTCTACCAAACTTATCTGCCATAGTTAATAAATGACACTGGGAGAAAATCAAAATAGTGAGCATCTGCAAATTTATTTTTAAAACACATTGATGATTTCGAGAGTGGGAGAGGGTCTATGAGATTTGAGGGTGATTTGAGGGACGTGGTATCATTAATATCGTATTAAGTTTATTTAGTAAGTTTTTGGGGGAAATTTAGCTGTACTATTGATGGATTTGGGGTATATTTCAAAGATGATCCGGATGTGTCAAACTGATTTATGACAGATCTGTTGATTATTGAGGATTTATGGAGGTTTGGTTATTCCTTGGAGTAGGGTATGTGATATATGAAACCTTGGAAGCTCAGAACATGAAACTTACACGTGAAATTGATATTTGAAAAGTCTTTTGACCTTTTGCCAGTTGAACTCTTATCTCTATCTTTACTAGTGGAGCACTTACCGAAGTATCATACACTTCCACATTATTAAATTGACTCTCCGTATGCAAACACCCAACTCAAGGATCTGACTCAGAAGTCTAACAACAATACTCCAGCTACTTTAGATAAGTGTCTAGCATCTAAAGTATCATCCTCTTCAATTGCAGGCATTTGAGTCAAAGGTTCTTCAAAATCTTCGTCCATTGTCATATCAGGAACCTCTTCTTCATCTTCACCCATATCCTTCTTCACATTATCAATCCCATCCACTTGTCCTTGTTCCTTGATCTCTTCAAGTCTTAGTTCGTTAGATCTAATAATTGCTTCGTTGATGAAAAGTCGTATATATTGACCAGACAATTGTAATGCCTTTTCACTTATTCTGGTGTTGTTCTTGAACAGAAGTTCATGGAAGATTCTTGAAATGGTCTTCAAGTTTACTGCTGTATCTGAAGGTTCTGTCATAACGCGATTTTATCACATAAAACCTGAGTTGTATCACAATATGACCTGAGTTATAACACATTTTACCCTAAGTTATAACATCCTATGGAACTGATGGCCTGAATAGTTAACTTCCAATGGAATAAAATTATAGGGTCGAAGATGCCCAGGTTCTCTCGTAAATAAGATTTCGAGTGACTGGGGTAGAATAGCAATTGAGCCTGAAATATTCCCATCAACCATGTCCTACGAAACACCAGGGGAATTCCCATTAAATGAAGAACCAGAAACTGATTTCAAAACTAAGACCAAAGAACAAGAAGCTTTGAATAATACGGCCTTCTACTTCTTTGCAGCCATTTTTCTCATGATTCTTTTGGCTTATGGTATAATCATAATTGCTCCTATGTTAATTGGTCTTATCAACTCAGTATTATTCTATTACAAGGGATTTGGATACATCAAGACTCCCTTGATCAAGGTTCTTAAGAAAATCCATAATAAACCAGATGATTTAGAGTTACATAGTGAATAAACATCATGTTTCTACATAATAAATTTCAAATTCATATCAGTAGGATGGGAACAACTTAATTGAGGTTTTTGGGTATATTTACCACTTAAGAAGTTTCTCATATTATTCAATAAAGAAATGTAAGATTGTTCTGGATTTTGGGATAAGATTGAAATGAAAGCATAACTCATAGCTCCACTAGCTTTACCATTGAAACTTGCATCTGCCGAAGTTTGATCATCTTTACTACCTGAAATACTAACAACATCAGCCGATGAAGCTTTCATTTGTCTAACAGCATCGGTATCAACTCTACCTGAATTCATTACCGTTTTAGCAATTGATCCTACAGCCGATAAGACACCTCCCATATTACCACGACCATAACTAAGAACAGCTCCCAATGCATCACCCCCAACATCTTTATAAATATTTGGTTCTTTAACAACTCCTTTAGTGGAATATACATAAGGTAAATCCAAAGCAGTACCTGAATGACAAGAATCATAAAGAGCGGTTAATCTACAACCTTGAGGCAAAGGTCTTACCATGATATCGTGCATGATATCATCAACAATATGACCATTTTGTTGGAAATCCAAAGGATAAATGACATCATCCATTCCACTTTCTTCATCTCCATCAAGATCTTTAGTTTGACCACCATGACCTGAATAATGAAAGAATAATGAATCATTAGGTCTAGCATCTTGAACCAACCATTGCATAGCTCTAAGGATGTTTTCTCGTGTGGGGATCTTATTATATTGTCTTTGGTCATCAGTCAAGATCACCATGTCATCCCAAGAATATCCGTACCTTTCGTTTAAGAACATACTCATATTCTTTACATCATTGATACAACCTCTCAATTCATTTGATGTACCGATGTAATTGATCCCTACTAATAAAGCTTTTCTTCTTCCAGTACAATTAGAGTATTGAAAGGAAGCATCCATACGACTATCAAACCTTTGGGGTGTGAATGAAGGCATTTGAGGTGTACCTCTTTGATTATAATTATTTGGAGCACCTTGTGGAGGACCGTAATTATTTGGTGGAGCACCCTGTGGTGGACCGTAATTATTTGGAGCACCCTGTGGTGGACCATAGTTGTTATATCCTCCATATTGTTGTTGATAAGATCCATTGGATGGTCTTTGACCTCCATACAGATTATGACCTTGACCTGGAAACATAGATAAACTTGAAATTTCGCACTGCCAGATATGAAACACCAGTTAAAATGACGTACATTGAGAGGAATTTGAACAAATATTACTATAAAAATCATAATTTTGGATCATCTTCACCAGCAGAAATGATAACATTTGGATAAAAATCACCCATCATACCACCTAAATGCCATAAACCTCCATCAACAATTTGAACAGTACCTGTAACAAATGAGGAAGCAGGAGAAAACAAATAAACCGTAGCTTCAGCAATATCTCTAGTACTACCATATCTTTGTAAAGGAGTTTTACTGATAATACTTTTTCTTTGTTCAGGAGGAGCTAATCTATCCATACCTTCAGTACCAGCAATTGCTCCTGGAGCAATACAATTAGATCTGATACCTAATGGACCCAATTCAACAGCTAAAGCATTTGATAATGCATCAACCCCAGCTTTAGCGGCACCAACATGTGATTGCATTGGAACACCATAATAATGTAAAGTAGCAGAAACAAAAATAATAGCCCCTTTATTCTTTCTTAATTGTTCAAAAGTAGCTTTAACAGTGTTAAAAGAACCTAATAAATCGATTGAAATAACTGATTTGAAAGCGTTTGATGATAAATGATTGAAATCACTAAGGAAATTACCAGCAGCTCCTGCAATGACAAAATCAATTCTACCTAATTGTTTAACAGTTTCATCAACAGCTTTGACTAAAGATTGAACATCTCTAACATCAACATTACCAAGACCAATAACTTTGGCATCTGATCTTAATTGTGACATTTCTTGAGCTGCTTTAGCAGTTTTCTCTTGATTTCTTCCAATAATGGCAGCATTTGCTCCTAATAATACTAATGCTTCAGTTTGAACTCTACAGATAGTACCAGCACCTCCAGTAACAAAGACGACTTTACCTTTGAATAAATCTGGTTTCCAACTACTATTCTTAACAAAACTTGAATCTAATGATGACATTATGGGAATAATTTTGTTGGTGATTCTCTGGCACTTTTATAATTTTCACGCGATACTATGAAACTCAAAACTGGGGTAAACCTCGGACTAAGTTTGACGCACTTTGAGGAATTAAGGTCAGAGATGAGTTAAAGTTTATGTTATTAACCATGGAAAATAACTACATATTGATATTCTATATCATGTCCAGGTATTAGGTTACCCCTCTAAGATGATCCGGAAACTACTAATTTCTGTAAATGTCCCATGAATACTTGTAATGATACATCATCAGTCAATACGACAGCTCCATTACTGATTAAATCTTGACTATTATAAGTAGTTGAAGGATTTAATTTGGAATATAAGAATCTTGCTTGTGATCCACCTTCTTCAGTATCAATGAATCTTGGTAATGGGAATCTATCAACTAATAATTCTGCAGCTTCTTGTTTTGGTTCTTCTAACAATTGTTTAAAGTTAGCATAATCTGGTTCGTTTTGATACCCAGCTTTTCTCCATTCACTGATTGTCTTACCATGGAAGATCAAAATATGGAAAAATGTATCTAATAATAAAATAGCATCATCTTTAATAGAAACTGAATCTAATAACACAGCTTGAGGTTCAGAATCTAATTGGAATGAAGTTAAAGTTGGTTGGATCATAATCAAGGAATTGTTGGTATCTTCAGTTAATAAGACATGTCTATAGAAAGCAGTTTCATCAGGTGAATTATTGAATACTTGTAAGAATTGAGATCTTCTTAAATAATAGATGAATTGTGGGTACAAGGAAAATTCCGGACTTAATCTGAAAGATTCATCACTATCCTTTCTATAATCGGCGAATTTCTGACATAATCTAATCAACATTCTATCAACCCATCTCAAAACATCTGCTCCATCATCTTGTTCGGATTTATGTAAAGTAACTCTAGCCATCAAGACAGCAGCGGCTTCTTGATCAAAAGATTGAGTTAATTGTCTTTCATCACTAGTCAATAAATTAGATACAGTGGTAACTCTGATTCTAAAAGTTCCTGAACCATGTTGATAATAAGTAATGAATTGAATAAAACTTTGGGCATTTGGTGGTAATGAAGGATTATTTGCAATATCGAAAAATACCGCGTAAGAATGTTGTGGTGATAGTGAGCAGAATTTGTATTGAGATGAACCACCCATTCCAACTTCAGTTTCTGAAACATTTGGAGTTTTAGCATTCAATGAAGAAGCATGACCAATTAATCCACTAACTTTCAATTCTTTTGAAGTTTTAATATCAAAAGTTCCATTGAAACCCATAGCTAAATATCCTTCATCATCTTTGTTAAACAATCTCAAAAGTGATTGTTTGAAAATGGATGTAGTGAAAGCATCTGATAATAATAAAGTACCACCAGTTAAATTGGATAATTCTTTCATTTCTAAAACCCCAATTTGATCTAAACATCCAACAAAGATATCAACTGTATGACCATTCTTAAGTACTTTGTCAGTGATAGTTTTATAGAATTTAGTTGCCTTCTTGAAATGTTTAGCATTATCTTTATCAATATCAGAATGAGATCTAATTGGTTCTTTCAATTTGTTTCCAACAATCATACCTGGTTCTAAAGTACAAGGACCACTGGCAAATAACATAATTCTAGCACCAAAGTTAGGGAAGGTTGAACCTAATAAATTAGCAGAAATATTTAATGCTGAACCAGTACATCTTAAAGGTCTATCACCATTAGCAACAGTCCAAGGATCTCTTGATAAGTTTTCTAAAATTGAAGTTAATTGAAATTCAACTTCTTCTAAAGGTAAGAAGAATCTTTGTAAGGAATTAAAACCTTGTTGATTTGGTTGGAAACCATTTTGTTGATTCAAATTATTCAAAATTGGTTTGTTTAACATATCAACGATTTGTTTTTCACTATACATCTTATCCCCTCTAAAGATATAAGACTTGTTAATAGATTCACTACCTAAATCATGAACTTGAACCATAGTACCATAAGTAATTAAACCAATTAAAGCATTTGATGGTAATAAGTTCAATGAAACAATCAATGAATCCTTCAAGGCTTTCAAATTATCTTCATCTTGACATAAATCAATCAAGAATAAGAAGATTGGTGGTCCACCATTGGATTTAGCACTAATATATTCAATAGTTGAACTAGTAGCTTCTAATTCAATAGGTAAATTATCTTGACTGATTCCTTGATAATGTGGAGGTAAAGGATTTCTTGATCCACATAAAGGACATGACCAAGCACCACTTGGATCAATTGAACAATAAGGGTTTAAAATAGCTCTACAATGTTGATTTTGACACATGATTGGATCATAGTTGGCAATAGGTAATTCATAATTATTTCTTTTCATCAATGGAGTATACAAACATCCAATTGGAACAACAATCTTGTTGGCTTCAACTTTTGTTGAAGGGAAAGTGTTCCAACTGAATCTAATACCGTTAAGATCTTCAGCGTCTTCAAAGTTCATAGTGAGTTGAGGTGTTTACGTGGAAAATTTTGAGATCAACGACGAGTGAGAAACTGTTTGGGTGATGGACGAAAACGTGTCTTTGGGAGTGATTTAGGTCAGTTTGATGAGTTGGGTGATCAACTGTGTTATATAATGGGTGTTAAGTGACTTCAAGAGACTTCTGAACCCAATTTTCTTGGAAAATTCAAATTATTCAAGAATTTGGTCACGTGACATGTGAAAAATCCTTAGAATTAAGCTATTTACTACCTTTAAAGTTCTTTTTATGGGTTGACTCTGCAAAAGCCCCTCAATCCCCAAATTTCACTTCAAACATCGTTTTAGTTATCTGCAAAAAGAACTATCTTAGGCTTCGGATTATTGGTCAATGTTTACCTTAGGTTTGAAATAGCCGAATATGGTATTGTCGTTCCAAATTAATGAAACAGTTTGTCGGAGGTTCATTGGCTCTAGTACAAGTCAACGTTGTGACCGTAAAAACCCCACTTCTTTATTGACTTTTTGGCTTTTGGCTTTGTTCAAAGTCAATCTGACTCGGTTATTCCGAGTGCCATCTCATGAAATGTCAACTGTCAAAATTGACACTCTTCAACCAACTAATTCCAACCTCAGCCTAACATAAGCCTCTACCTCGAAAGCACCTTCCTCAAAATGTACCTTACGTCAGGCCACAGAGATCTTGGGAAAAAAATTTCTCCACAAAGTTATTTATGGCATTTCAAGCCGAGTTCCATTAAAGGAGGGAAAATTTTCAACAAACGATCAATGACCCAACGTCTTTACTCCTATATCATACAACCTAAATTGAATTGTAACACCACTATAAATGGAGAATTTTAAGTTACCTACATGAATTTCTCCCAACAGGAATAGTTCATTGGCTGGAAGTTAATAGATTTTTCCGATACTTCATATTGTCTGTCAATATGCGGGTCAGAGCAACTAACTCTAACTGGGGTAACCCCATTGTTCACGGTTCAATTTTGAGGGGGAAAGCAAAATGTTACCACTAAATTGTTTAGTATTAGCGGGATTAAGTCTCCGGTAAGTCCTTAGTCTAGCAACATTTCAAATTTGAACAATAAAAAATTGCATAACGTTTCGGATATGCATGAATTTAACGGAATGATTATGGGTTGATTACAAATTTTCCGGTATTATTCCCCATATAACCCCAGAATCTCCATGTATAAATATCCTGGGGTTTTGGGCTTTTCTTCAATCCAAAAAAAAATTTCCAAACCATGTTGAAATTATCCATCTTATTTTTGGTTGCAAAAACTTTGGCTCAGCCAGTTGTTGAGACTTGGGTTTACTCAAGTTTTGAATATGCTCCTAATCCAGAACCAACCTATGCTACTAGTGTTGATCCTAAAGCTGCTTCCGGTCATTATGCTGCTGGTTATGATAAATTATCTACCTTACATGATGCTGTTCCAACTACCACTTATGGCAAATGGAAACCTGATATGAGCAATACTTACACTGATTCAGATGATGAATATGGTCAATCAGCTTGGTTTGAGATGTGGGCAACTGCTAACATTCAAAACTTCACTGACAGTGCTCTTTATACTGATACCGTTGAACCTACTGCCGTACCAACAGAAAGTTTAGTTAGACCACCACCAGATTCATTCAAATTCGATGATTCATTGAAGTTCCCTTCAGATTTCATTTTTGGAGTTGCCGGTTCAGCTGCTCAAATTGAAGGTGCTGTTTCTGAACATGGTAGAACCCCATCAATCCAAGAGTTCCTTATTAATGATCAAAGACCAAGAGATTATATTACTAATGAAAACTATTATCTTTATAAACAAGATATTGCTAGATTAGCTGCTATTGGTGCTGAACATTATTCATTCACCATTCCATGGTCAAGAATCTTACCTTTTGTTTTACCAGGTACTCCAATTAATAAAGAAGGTATTGATCATTATGATGATGTTATCAACACTTGTATTAGCTATGGTATTAAACCAATTGTTACTTTAACCCATTTCGATACGCCTGCTATGTTCTTAGGTGATAGAAACATGAGTACTGATGATGCATACTTCTATTACAATGGTGGTTACGACAATGATACTTTTGTTGAAGCTTTTGTTAACTATGGTAAAATTGTTTTAACTCATTATGCTGATAGAGTTCCAATTTTCATCGGTTTCAATGAACCATTCCTTTATTCCGGTAACCCATTAGGTATGAAACATGTTGTTCAAGCTACCAAACAATTACATTCATTCTACCATGATGAAATTAAAGGTTGTGGTAAATTCGGTATTAAATTCAACGATAATTTCGGAGTTCCTGAAGATCCATCTAATCCTGACCATGTTGCTGCTGCTAAAAGATTCCAAGATATTCAATTGGGTTCTTATGGTAACCCATTATTCTTGGGTAAAGATTTCCCTGATGCCTTGAAAGAAACTTTCACCAATGATACCAGATATTTATTCACCGATGAGGAATTGAAAAATGCTTCATTTGGTGCTGATTTCCTTGGTATTGACCCATACACCTACACTGTTGTTACACCACCAGAAGGAGGTATTGAAGCCTGTCAAAGTAACACTTCTCATCCATTATGGCCATTATGTGTTGCTGAAAGTCAAACAAGAAGTGATGGATGGAAGATCGGTTATAAATCAGAATCTTATGTTTATATTACTCCCGTACAATTCCGTGAATACTTAAACTATTTATGGAACACTTTCAAAGCTCCAATCATTGCCAGTGAGTTCGGTTATCCAGAATGGAGAGAATCTGAAAAAGCTTTAGGAGATCAAGTTTATGATTTAGGTAGATCAGTTTATTACAGATCCTTCATGGAAGCTATCTTACAAGCTATTAACATTGATAGAGTTAAAGTTATTGGAGCTTTAGCTTGGTCATTTGCTGATAATTGGGAATTTGGTGATTATAAACAACAATTCGGTTTACAAGTAGTTAACAGAACTACTCAAGAAAGATACTATAAAAAGAGTTTCTTCGATCTTGTTCAATATTATCAAGAAAGATCTTCTTAGATTTAAGTAGAGTCAAAAAGTTTTTCGTACATCAAAATGTCTCCAATTATAAACTCGCCTCTCTTATACGTCACCTCTATGCATCTTATCCTCCAGAAGTTTAAATTTGCGCTATAGTTTAAGCTTACATTGCGTCAAGATGGTCATAGATCGACTCTAGTTACCATCATGATGAATGGGAGACCTTTATAGTCCTCGGCCAACTCTGAAGACACTTCCTTGTTTTCTCCAATTTCTCCACTTAAACCCTTCCCGGGTATAAGCAAGAAGTCAGAAGTCCGAAATCTCAAAATGGAAATGTCGGTGATTGGAGATGCTCGCCCCAAAGAAAGTTTTTCCAGTGACGTGATTAAGCTAGTAAATACTTTATTTTTACAAGAGGAACTAACATTGAAGGTTGTTCGCTTTTTATATAATTAGAAAGATTCTAGTAACTTAATTATGGTCAAAAATACCAAAACTCCTGATGTCAAAGTATTGGCGGATGGGAAAGTTATGAAAGTTCAGAAGACCAGACAGAGGAAGATTCTAAGTTGTGTTTATTGTCATTCTAAGAAGATTAAATGTTCTAGGGTTCATCCAACATGTAATAATTGTGAAAAACTGGGCATGGATTGCCAGTATTTTATCAATGACAGAGTCAGTAAAGGAGGTAAGAATAGGAAATCTTTGATTGGTAATGAAGATAATGCCAATTTTAACAAAAGTTTAAGTCCTGAAGACGATGAAGAACAGATAGATCAACTTGATCAACTAGAAGATCCTTTGCAGAATCCTATAATTGAAGTTAACTTGAAAGATAAGAGTAATCGATTAGATGACATAACTACCAATTTCCCCAGTTTATCTAAAACCTTATTACAGACACAAATGCCCAATTTTTATGAAGACCAAACTGATAGAGCCGGTACTCCATCAGAGAAAGAAGATCAGTTTTCCTTTGGCATGAGTTCATTCACTTTTGCAAATTATCAACCGCAATCACTTGACATCATTGATCGTCACCCTTTAACTCCTAGTAATATTAATAATGTCAACAAGAATAGTATGAATCAACGAGATTTCAACAGAACTAACGAAGTAAGGAATGAAAGAAATGAACCTTTTAATCAAAATATCAGTTCTACTAACATATCATCATTATTTGTAAAGAATCCTCCAAATATTTATCCACAAGCAAATGTTCAAAATTTCATGGATCAACAAAGACAATATGAAAGGAATGGCAGTCATGATTTCCATGATGCTTCCCAATTGAATCAATTAAATCATCATAGAGATAAAATTAGTGATATTGAAATTGAAGATAAAAGTGATAATTATCAACCAATGGAAAATACCAATTCTGCTTCAACTGCCACTTTTGAATTGAATCATCATTTAGCTCATACGAAAAACTTTCTTAATGGGACAAACACTTATTATGATAATGAAAATTTACTTGGAGATTTAGAGAATCATCTCCCAAATTCTAAGAAAAGATCATATGAATTGATTGAAAGATATGTTAAATCCGTTCATTTATTATTACCTATCATCACCACATTTGAAGATTTTGAAATCGAACATAATAAATTCTGGGAGGAATGTAATCCTTATGATAAAGATTTGAATAACTCCATGACAGATTTCAACATTCTACAATTTTATACCTTATATTTCCCTATTTTATATGCATCAACGATAAGTGAATTTGAAGAATATGATAATTTATTACTTAACCAAGAAATCGATAAGTATTTAAAAGGGTTCAATAAGATTTGTCAATATTATAATTACCCTCATGGGTTGAAAACCATTCCTTTACTTTTAGGTAACGTATTAATTCAATCAACATCACCTAATCCTTCAACCATGGAAATGTCTCAAATTATCAGATACGCCAAATTCTTACAAATGAATAAAGATCCAGTTAATTCATTGAAAATCAAGAAATACGAGATTGTCAAATTTAGAAGATTATTATGGTGGACGATATTTGGATTAGATTGTTTGACTAGTCATAATTTCTGTCTTGCTCCGGTCTGTAGATTTGAAGATTTCAATGTGCTTTTGCCTGATGATGAGGAACCTATTTATAATGATATGAATGAAGTTGTAGGGTATAAATTAAATGTTTCAATTTTATCCATGAACATTAAGTTCAAATATGATAGGATTTTGAATGAACTTGTTCAGTTGTTATATAGTGATGATAGTAAGAACTTATCCATCGAAAAGATGAATGAAGTCAATAATATGATCACTGAATATTTCGAATATATTCATATTTCCATCAACAAGTTGAATTTATACCATGAGAAGAATCCGCCAAAGTCTGTGAATGAAAACAACTTGGTGAACTTCTTGAAAAATCATAGTTGGAGTTACGTTGATAGAGCTTTGATGCTTTTACATAAGAAATATCTATTAAATGATAATCAAAGAATGAAACCAACTAAGATCGAATCCAAACAATCTAAACCTATAAAGACTGAAATGGATTTATTAGACCAACCAACGATCTTCGGAGGTGAAGAAAAGGAAAGAAGAATGAGTAATAGTTATAATATCAACCTTACTAAACCAACCAATGGGATCTTATCATTCAATGATTTCGAAAATACTTTCCAGAATTTACCTGAAGCCAACCTTATCCGGAATTTCATTCACAGCACAGATTTTAATATCAATTTAACTTTCAACCAAAACATAAATTTCAGTTATAAGGATTTATCCAATAATCTTGTTCCTTCATTATTACATAATCTTAATGATTTCTTAAAGTATAATGATTTCTTGAAGTTCGGGAAATATAATTGGTATGTGAAGAGAACCATTCCTTTAGACTCCATCATCATGTTATTCATTGTTATCATTGTCAAGTTCAAACACCAAAACATTAAATTCAATGAATTGTTGGTTTATGTTAAACTTATCAATAAGTCATTATTCATTTTGAATAGGAAATGGTTCAAGAATGAAAAATATAAACGGATGTTATCACTAACGAACTTAACTTGGGAACTCATACTTAAGAAGTTTAAAATCTTACATTTGATCAACAAATTCACCAATTCCAACTTTTCAGTGATTTCAAACTCCAAAAATAAAATCTTTAACAAATATGAATATTTCAATTATCAACTCACAGGTTACATCAACACCACGGAACTATTTAAAACCATGAAAGTAGCCCAACCATTATTATCAATCGAATTATCCAATAAGATGAACGATCATAAAGTTAGATACTCCATTACTTCAAGTATAAGTCCTATTGATAACATCAACAATCATATGGATTTATCAATGTCAATAGCAACGCCTTTACCTATAGCTACACCTAATCCTTTAGATTTTATGGATTCAGCTGCCACTCCTTCAACATTAAGTAAGATCCAAAATACTTTATTAGGTAATTTCCATAATGATGAACAAATGGTAGTAAATGATATGAATTCGGTAGAGTCAAATGAATTATTCCAGATTGAAAATGACTTTATTGTCAGTAAAGAATTGTGTGATAAGTTCCCAGTTGACCACCATGAATTGTCATTACTTAAATCTAAGATTGATTTTGATTTGAAGAATAATTATGTCGATATTAATGATTATTGTGCATTCTATATTTCCTTAGAACATGTTCTTGGGGAATTAATGAGATTTATAGGACCCTAATGTATTTATTTACCCTTATTTCATTGTTTTCTATATAATTACCCCAAAGAAACCTTCTTACAGACCTTAATATTACTATTGGTCGTGTATTACTCAATTGTATACTACCTGATCCAGGTACCCCTTTTCCTCGTCAAGAAAAGCCTGGCTAGCTCAATCGGCTAGAGCGTTTGACTTTTACTAAAGAGTTATCAAAAGGCTGCGGGTTCGAGTCCCGCGTCGGGCTTTCTTTTTTTTCTCCACATTTCAATTTTTTTTGAGACATCGCAAGACATTTTTACTTTCTTTTTGGGCATTGCGTCCGGAGATTGAAACAGATAAATAGATTAAAAGAAGAGTAATGATTAAATAATGATATATTGAACAATAAATAGCAGGAATGTTAATTAATCTACTTTAATTATTTAGCAGACATTTTGTTTAAAGCTGAACCGTATTTGAACCATTCAATTTGTTCACTGTTGAAAGTATGAGATAATTCAGTTTCCCAATCTTCACCGTTCTTTGGGTGAACTTTCATAACAACATTTTTACCTGGAGCTAAATCAGCTAAACCAACTAATGAGATTTCATCATCAAAGTTAATTTTATCGTAATCAGCAACTTTAATAAAGTTTAATGGTAATAAACCTTGTTTCTTTAAGTTAGTTTCATGAATTCTAGCGAATGATTTAGTAATAATAGCGAAAGCACCTAAGAATCTTGGTTCTAAAGCAGCATGTTCTCTTGATGAACCTTCACCGAAATTTTCGTCACCAATAACAACCCATTTTTTACCAGCATCTCTGTAATCAGCAGCAGTTTCTGGAACACCTTTGTATTCACCAGTGTAGTGATTTCTAACATTGTTAGCTTCACCATTTTCAGCATTAGTAGCACCAATCATATAATTGTTAGAAATGTTTTCTAAATGACCTCTGTATTTTAACCAAGGACCGGCCATTGAGATATGATCAGTAGTGGTTTTACCAACAGCTTTAATTAAGATTGGTAATTTTTCAGCATCTTTACCATCCCATGGTTTGAAAGGAGTTAATTTTTGTAATCTATCAGATTTTGGATCAACAATAACTTCAACTGAAGCTCTGTCAGATGGAGGAGCTTGATAAGTGTTAACACCGGCATCGTAACCATTTGGTGGTAAACCTAAACCAACTGGTTCAGCTAATTTAAATTCTTTACCATCAGCACCAACTAAAGTATCAGTGATTGGGTTGAAACCTAAATCACCAGAGATAGCATAAGCGGTGGTCATTTCTGGAGAAGCAACGAAAGCGTGAGTAGCTGGGTTACCATCATTTCTTGAAGTGAAATTTCTGTTGAATGAGGTAACAATAGTGTTTTTATCACCTTTTTTGATATCTTTTCTATCCCATTGACCGATACATGGACCACAAGCATTAGCTAAGACAACACCACCGAAATCTTCGAAAGTTTTTAATTGACCATCTCTTTCAATAGTAGCTCTAACTTGTTCGGAACCTGGAGTAACAGTATAGATAGTTTTAGCTTTTAAACCATGTTCAGCAGCATTTTTAATAATAGAAGCAGATCTGGTCATATCTTCATAAGAAGAGTTGGTACAAGAACCAATTAAACCAACTTTAACTTCTAATGGCCAGTCATTAGCAATAGCAGTTTCTCTCATTTTTGAGATTGGAGTAGCTAAATCTGGAGTGAAAGGACCGTTAACGTGAGGTTCTAAAGTGTTTAAGTCAATTTCAATAACTTGATCATATTCACAACCTTCATCGGCTTTTAAGAAATCTTGTTTATATAATGAAGCAAATTCACCAATTTGAGATCTCTTAGTAGCATTTAAGTAGTCAACCATAGAGTTGTTGAATGGGAAAACTGAAGTAGTAGCACCAATTTCAGCACCCATATTACAAATAGTACCCATACCAGTACATGAGAAAGTTTCAACACCATCACCGAAATATTCAACAATAGCACCGGTACCACCTTTAACAGTAGTAATACCAGCTAATTTCAAGATAATATCTTTTGGAGAAGTCCAACCAGACATTCTACCGGTTAATTTAACCCCAATGATTTTTGGAGCTTTTAATTCCCATGGTAAATCAGCCATAACATCAACAGCATCAGCACCACCAACACCAATAGCTAATTGACCTAAACCACCAGCATTTGGAGTATGAGAATCAGTACCAATTAATAAAGCACCTGGGAAAGCGTAGTTTTCCAAGACAATTTGATGAATGATACCTGAACCTGGTTTCCAAAAACCTAAGTTATATTTAGCACAAGCAGATGATAAAAATTCGTAAACTTCTTTATTTAAATCAATGGCTCTGTCTAAATCAGCTTGACTACCAACTTGAGCTTGAATTAAATGATCACAATGAACAGTTGATGGAGTAGCAACTTGTGGCATACCAGCTGACATAAATTGTAAAATAGCCATTTGAGCAGTAGCATCTTGACAAGCAACTCTGTCTGGTCTTAATTTTAAATATGAAACACCTCTTTCAATATCTTGTTCATGAGGCTTATCTAAATGACCGTATAATAATTTTTCGGCATAAGTTAATGGTCTTTTTAATCTATCTTGAACGATTTTAACATTTTCTAAGTTTTTCTTATAGTTAATAAATGAAAAATCTTCTAATAAATTTTGATTAACTTTAGAATCTCTAGTTAATCCTGAAGTAGCTAAGTTTCTAACTGAAACTTTAGATAATCTTCTACCTAACATTTTAAGAGTTTGGGAATATTGAGAAAAAATTTCAGCAAATTGATGTTATTTATGGAGTTTCTGATCCTTGAATTCTCTGCAATTGTCCAATGAGATCACATCAATTTGTAAATGAATGGAGATGGTGTACGGCTGCGACTTTTTTTTAACCGTGGATATAAAGGGAGGTTTTAGGACATTTGGAATGATTTGAAACAGATATGATGGGTTATATGAAGTGAAGATAGAGGAATGATGTCAATAAGGAATAATTTGATGTAAAAATCAATGAAATCAATTGGGTTATTGTTGAACTCATGGGAGAATAGTCCGAATGTCGTATGTCGTGTTCCCCATCCATCAATATCCTCGTCGGATCCGAAATCAACGCGATGTTTGGCTATAACCGATGGTTAGAATCACGTGGATTCCTATGTTTTGGATTATGATCATGGGTTAATGGTTTGATGAAGAAGACGAGTGAATACTATGATTTAGTGATTTGTAACTTGAAACATTTTTCGGCTAAAAAAAAATTGTTTTTTCTTGTGATTTTTACATCTTTGGTTGTTAAGCATATATATTAACTTTATATGATTTCAAACTGGAATTATTGTCTTGAAACCTCAATGACCTTACCTTCTGAAATTTTGAAAGTTATACCCCTAATGAAGTTAATCATGGGGAATATAGGGTCAAGATCGAAAGTCAATTCAATTTGAATTAGTTTTCTCGATGAACCTTCACCTTCTTTGATTTCTCGCTTAAATAACTCATGTAGCATATCTTGAATCTTACCGTTTCGAAGAGAAATGAAATGGGACAAAGAATGGTAAAGACTCTCGACATTAAATTCTTGCCAACTGTAAAAGTCTTCAATGTTGCTCAAATCTGGCTGGGTGAATCTGTACCAATACTGGTACTCATCTCGGTTGAAGCTGGGACCCCATACTTGAATATCGATAACATTGGTTTTCCTTGTAGGGTAATTGACAAACTTCCCTTCGATATTCTCGAATTTACTAGCTAAATATGAAATTATATTGTGGGTATTGGGGTCGTTTTTAACCAGGGGAAACCTCTCCATAGAAGTAAGATTTATATCTATTTCCTCCAAGTTGATATGATTTTCTGGGAAATCCACAGCACTCCCTTCCGACTCTTGAGCAATAGAGTCAAGGTAATCAATTAAAATCCCATTGTCTATCAAATGTTCAAAATCCAGTTTATCATACTCTTCACCACACTCTTTTTGGTCCTCTTGACTTTCACTAACTTCCATCTTGAAATCATACTCACCCTTTGTTGAGCCTTTAAACTCTAGCAAACCTGCAGTCCAATTATCACTGGCCAAAAGCAATCCCAAATCGACCTTCAAACGTTTATCCAATCTTCCAAATCCATCAGAATTTGATTTTGGCCTTTTCTGTGCCATTGGTTGCAAAATCCTGTTGCAAATTTATGTGTCTCATTTTCTCACCCACCACCACAAATTGACCACCGGAAAAATTACTACCATGAATCCACTATTCCCGAATCTTTAAAACCATCTTCTTTAGCTCCTTACAAACAACTTTACCGGAGAATTATTTTCTATCCATTCAGAAAATCCCCCAGATTCATCTGGGGTAAAATTCGCACTCCGAAAAATCCAAGGATCAGTGAAAACCGAGATATCTTCTTGATTATTTATTATTTATTCATAACTTAAAACCATTTTTTAATATCAGAAATACAATGAGTGCCGGAGCCAGTAGATTTACCAGATTTTTGAATTCAGAAACCGGACCAAAAACTGTTCATTTTTGGGCACCAGTTTTTAAATGGTCTTTGGTCATTGCGGGTATAAACGATATTCAAAGACCTGTTGAAAAATTAAGTGGAACTCAACAAATTGCATTATTCGCCACCGGTGTTATATGGACTAGATGGGCTGGGTTTGTCATTCTCCCAAGAAACTATTTATTAGCATCAGTTAACTTTTTCTTAGGTGGTGTTGCAGGTTACCAATTAAAGAGAATTTATGATTACAGAAAGGCCGCTGGTGATAATACTTCAGAAATAGTGAATTATTTCATACACGGAGCCACCCCAACACAAATCGAAGCTGCTCCAGTTGAAGCCAATTAGAGGTTCGAAGTTTATAAAGATAATATAAAATTTATTCATCTAAATTCATGTCATCTCTCTCATCATCTTCAACATCCATTTCATCATTTCTGATATTTTCAACGGTTTTAACGATTTTTTCAACATCTCTTTGTAAGAATCTTTCCAATTCCACATTTCGTTTTGACCATTTGTCTTTATCTTTATCGATTTCACTTTTGATATTTAATAAAATTTGATATTTCACCATTCTCTCCACTCTATTCCTATATTCTAGATTCACTAGTTTTTTAAAAGAATCAAAATCTAGTAATGGTTTATCTATAGATTTATCCACGGTGAAGAAGTCTTTGATATTGATATTTTGCTCTTCAGCATGTAAAGATTCATCATATTGCTTTAAGGTTAAAGTTGATATTTTTAAATCAGGTAATTTGACTAACTTGGATTTTTGTTCATATTCTTTCATGATAATTTCCAACTCATTACTGTGTTTGAACATTAAACTTAACTTCTTATTATACGAAAAGGAATCTTCATGTATAGAAGATTTCATATCTTTGACATCTCTATTAAATTGTGATATGGCATATGAATCAAGAATCAGTTGTCGCTGTAAAGACTTATTAGGTTGTTGTAATAGTTGTGATATTGATTCATTTGTGGTTAGAAGGTTCTCTATATTCGATTGTAATTTTTCAATATGTTGTAATTTATCTTCCATGATTTGAAGGGGTACGTTAGTAATGGATAAATTTCATAAAGAATACTCTGGGAAAAGTTTTATTGGTGAGGACTTTGAACAATAAGGGATGTGTGTCAGTGTCAGTATTCTCTAGATGTTCAAAATCTTTTGAGAATCGCACCGCGTACACTAATGAATATCAAGACAGAGTTGATAAAAGCACATCAAATTCTTAGTAATTTGAACCTTTTCCAAGCATCTAAATGGTGTGCTGAAGCTATCAACGGTATATCTGATACCAAAGAGTTAGAACCCACGACAATCAATGTAACTTTATCATCAGAAGATATAAAAGAATACGATCGATTCATACTAGCTAAATCTTATTTTAATGTTAAGGAATTCGATAGATGTGTTCAAGTCTTGATATCTTGCAAATCACCCAATTGTATATTTTTAAAGCTTTACGCAAGTTTACTTTCCATAGATAAACGAAATAATGAAGAAACTGATGGATCTATCAATGTATTCTCCATTGATAATAACGCAGGCGTTAAAGATGACAAGGATTTGAATAAATATTCCAAGTATTCAAAAATCATTCAAGAGATTGAAAACTGGATCAAAAACAACCCCAATTCTGACTTTTCCTTCTTATACTACCTTTTAGGAGTGATTTATAATAAGAAGAAGAATTATCAATTATCACAAAAGAATCTTATAAAATCATTGGTTTTATTCCCATATAATTGGTCATGTTGGCAAGAACTTATTGATTCTATAGTTAATTTCGATGAATCTATTGAAGTCATTAATACCATCAAATCAACAGATTTATATACCAATATAATGTTCCAAATATTTGAAGTAGTATTATCTCAGGAATTTTATCAACCACAATCTAATATCACCAATTTGAATTACTTACTAACAGTTTTTCCAAATTTCAATTTCTTAAAGATTCAAGATTTCCTTATTCATTATCATAATCTTGATTATTATCAAGCAGAGAAGATTTTTGATCAAATCTTAATTGATGATCCCTTAAGATTAGATGATTTAGATACTTATTCTAATATGTTATATGTAATGGAAAAGAAATCTAAATTATCATACCTTGCACAATATTCATCAAATATTGATAAATTCAAACCAGAAACTTGTTGTATCATAGCCAACTATCATTCAATGAAAGGTGAACATGAAAAAGCTATTATGTATTATAAAAGAGCATTGATTTTAAATAAAAATTCTTTAAGTGCCTGGACATTAATGGGACATGAATTTGTTGAATTAAAGAATAGTCATGCAGCTATAGAAAGTTATAGAAGAGCTGTTGATATTAATCCCAAAGATTTTAGAGCTTGGTATGGGTTAGGACAAGCTTATGAAGTATTAGATATGCATTTATATTCCCTTTATTATTATCAAAGAGCAACCAATTTACAACCTTTAGATAAAAGAATGTGGCAAGCTATAGGGAATTGTTTTGAAAAAATTGGTAAATTTGATGAATCAATAAAATCATTTGAGAAAGCTTTAACTATTGATCTAATAAAACAAACTGATTCATCAGAAAATTTTGATCCATTTGTTTGTTATAAATTAGCTAGTATCTATGAAAAATTAAGTAATACCAAACAATGTTATAAATTTATGAAACTTTGTTTCGATCAAGAATTTGAATGGGGGATTACTGATGAAACTTCAAAGGCAAGATTATGGTTAGCTAGAAATGCATTAGAAAATTCTAGATTTGAAGAAGCTTATGAATTAACCAAAGATTTAAATCATAATAATGCTCATGATATTGAAGAAGCAAGAGCTATAACTAGAGAAGCAAGAAATAGAATGAATAAGTAAGTAATCATATTATATATTATATCATTATATTATTAAGTAGCTTTATGATAAAAAAAGCTTATATTAAGGGGGTTTTCTTTGGGGAGATTTTTCTTTGGGAAAGTTTTCTTTGGGGAGGTTATTTCTAATAATTGATCATCTCATTTCTTAAAGTGGTTAAATCATTAGGAGTTTTTATACTTGTACAAATATCATTGATAATATCATTAAATCCAGTAATTAAAGAATCTACATCATTCTCAGTTAATCCAATATTAACTAATACCAATAATCTTGGTCTTCTAATGGGTAAATTTTCATGTTCTAATAAAGCTTTGGATCTTGTAAGTAAAATGTTTTTAGATTTCAAAACTTCATCAATGATTTTTTGTAAGATGAAATTTTCTAATAAATAATGTTCATCTAATTCATTATTGAATTTAGCTCTTTTACCAGTTCTAACAAATTCAACATTACCATAATATTGAGGTAATCCAATTGATTCACGATATTCATTTTTTAAAGCTAAATGAATGGTAGGACTTGAAGAATCATTGACTATTTCAATAAATGGAGAAGATTTCAAATGAGTTAATAAATTTTTGAAAGTATAAGAAATCAAATGTTGTAATTGGGAAACAATGATTGATTTACCATTTTTCTGATGTAAAATTTCTTCAATGGCAGTGGATGTTACTTTGGCACTATATGGAGGTAAAGAAGCACTGAAAACATAAGCTAATGAAGATAATCTTTGATGATGAATCATTTGTTTAGTACCAGTACAGAATCCACCAGAAGATCCAAAAGATTTAGCCATAGAACCAACAATGATTTCAATTTCTTTATTATCAATACCAAAATGTTCAGTAACACCTCTACCAAAATCACCTAAAACTCCAATTGAATTAGTTTCATCCAAGAAAACTCTATATTTATATTGATTTTTCAATTTAACCAATTCAGGTAAATTAACTAATTCTCCAGTATTATCAAAAATCCCTTCAGTAACAATAAATCTTCTTTGTATTTGTTTTTGTTTATCTAAACCAGGTTTTAATTCTTTTAAAACTGATTCCAAATGATTCATATCATTATGATTATACCAAGATATATCACAACGACTTACAACTAAAGCTTTTTGAATAGCTAAATTAACTCCACTATCAACAACACATAAATCACCTCTTTTAACAAATGCTGGTAATACCGATGTTGATGTTATAAAATCTTGTCCATAAATAATTGAATTATCAGTATGCATAAATGAAGAAATATCTTCTTCTAATCTAACATGAACTTCTTGAGTTCCATAAAAATTTGGTGCTGAACATGCTCCAACACCTGTGGTTGAAATAATATCTTTAGCTTTATGTCTAATGGTTTCATTTCTACTTAAATTCAAAAAATCATTAATAGCAAAGTTTAATACATTTTCTCCTTTAGTTAAGTTCATTAATTTAACCTTTGGTCCATTAGGACCTTCAATTTGTGGTATGGATTTAAGTTGCCAGTCTTCAGTATCATTAACAGGTTCAACTAATTCAGTTGGATTCCAATCATCAATCAATTCATCGATTTCTCTTTGACTGAATTTAACTAATTCACTCTTATTCTCTTTACGTTTACTCATCAAGAAATAACGTACACCAAAAATGAATAACATCAATTCAAATAATGATCTAATTGGATCATCTTTATAAGAAGCTTTGATGTACCATAATAAATAGTCACCTCCGGGTAATTTACCTAAATAGTTTAAATAATGAACAAAAGTATCACTTAATGTTGATGTTATACTATCTAAAGTTGGTGGTAAAGTGGTGGTTGCAATAGCTGTTGTAGTTTTAGTGGTAGTAAAAATATATTCACTTTCACTCATATTTTATAGGGGTAACAAACAATGATAAAAAATACAAGCAATTTGATTGAAATTGTTAATGAATAAATAGTTGCTTCCCTCTTATTATGTTGATGGTTTTAAAGATCAATTGTTTTTGGGTTCTTCACTTAAATGTTTGATATTTATGGTGACGAAATCCAAGGTAAATAATTGGGAGTTAAAAATTTTCAAACCGCGTAAAGTCGCAGTCTGACGTAGTTGGCGTGTTGATTGACGTTAGTGAGGTTTAAAAGGGTACCAGGCACATTTTCGAGAGTTAGGGAGACGGGGAGATGATTTTATGGTGAACGAATTGATGATGAATATTTTCCAGAAATGTTTTATGTTGGATATTACCAAACCAATCGGTTGTTTATCATATAGTTTAATCCCTATTTAAGCGGTATGCTGCGAGCCTAAACCCTAACTTAATCTTAGCAACACCATCTAATCGACTAAAACAATCATGTGATAGCCTTCAATAACGATTGTTATTGATGGCAATGCTGGATTGTGAGCTATGAAAAAGAGCCATTTAACCGAGGTATCTATACCCATATTATATATATTGCTTATTAAGGTATGAATACTTTAGACACTCCTTCAACAGGACGTCTACAACAAACACAACCTTCAATTGCCTTAGATGCTAATGTTAACCTACAACTTTCACAAATGGAAAAACATTTACATGGCCAAGTAATGATCTCTCTATTGTTTACTTGACATACCACACATGATAATTTCGAATCATAATCTTCATCATCAGTTTCTCCATTGAGTACTTTGGATATATTGTTTTTCCGTTTACTTAATAAAACTTCAAGTAATTTGGATGATTCATCTTTGAAAGGTAAGATCTTGTTGAATCTTGATCGGGTCATGATAGTTCCTTCATTATTTAAATGACTATTTAATATTTCAACATTCATTTCTTCATTAACAAGTTCGATGAATTCCTGAGGAGAGAATGAAATATCTTCGATATCAGTTTCATCAATGATTGATTCCAAATCACTATCTTCTTCTTCAACCTGGAAATCTTCAGAATTATCCCTTTCACTGAATTCTCCAGCTATTAAATTGAGATAATTCTCCGATATTTGAATATCATCCATATCATCAAGTTCAATTATCTTATCACTCTTTGGTTTAGGTTTGTCACTGGGTTGAACATATGTTTGTAAGAACTTAGGTACTTTTTGTCTTCTTTGTTCTAATTCTTCCACTGTCCCTTTTTCAAACTCTTTCTCTTTGATGATATGATTCTTCAAGATGTACTTGTATAAGAATTTATCCATGAAAAGCCCTTTCCCTAATTGATATAAATTAGTGATCATGATAACTATGGAATTGATTCTTCTCTTGATCACAGTATCATTTTCATTCAATTTGGTAACTCTTGAAATGTTGGATATCAAATCCATTGGTGGATTATCGATTAAATTACCATAACCCATATTTAATTTCCCATTCTTAAGATGTCTTTTGAACTTATCCCAAATATTTCGTTCAAGCCAGGTTTCTTCATCAATAGTTACCAAACTCAATTCTGTAATGTAACTGGATTTACCTGCCAGAGTTATAGATAACATTCCTAGGTTAATCAAAGTAGTGTAGAAATCATCTGATAACTTGAAGAGCACTCTTTCTTGAAATTCATCGTCATTGGTGGTGAAAAAACTGGCATAATTCAAATCTTGTAAATTGAATCCTGTGGAAAGTATAGCCATGATAAAGATAACCATCGATGCAAAGATAATGGCCACTATCAATAATTGAGGAAGTATTGATCCTGTAATGATAATAGGGAACTGAGTCCATCCCCCATTCCTCAATAAATTGGTGTAATAAGTTAAGAAGGAAGCTCCTATTATAGTTGAAGGTATTAATCTGTACTTGTTGTTATTCAACAACCCACCAATTTGAATGTTAAGATGATTCAAAGTCAGGAAAAGACATATAATCATTAATTCTTCTGTTGGCTTTCTAACGACATTCCTATTACCTAAAAAAAACGTTCCTTTAGAACTAGCTTCTTGAAATGCCAAAGAATGTTCGAAAAGGGTTAATCCTGTTTCAATATATGGCTTATCTCCATTGATAGCAGATACAAAAGTCTCCATATATGCCAGTAAACAGAATCCTAAGAATGTTGGCCAGTAAATGTCAGTTGAAGGACCTATCATTACCAGTAATTTAGGTGTCTTCAAATATGGATTAGCAGTTTCAATATTATAATCAAAGATCTTTAATCCATCCAAAATCCTATAAATAAGACGGTCTTCTGCCCCAATAAGTTTCCCATTAAATTTCAAGGTGACCAAAATATTATAAGCATTGTAAAGTAATACCGATATAGCTCCCAATCTGAAAATCAAGAATGTAGCCGACTTTAGGAATTCTGTAGCATCCGGACCTCTGAATAGGTTCCTTTGTCTATTGATCATTTGTTGTTGGAATCTGGAAGTATTAGTGGATGCAATGATCAAAGTTCTATTCAATAGAATGGCCATTGCCATACATGCAATCCCATACCATGAGTAACAATAAGTGACAAATGGGGTTAAGTTAGTTACAGCTGCGGAGGTAGATTCCGCCCGATTGGAAACCGCTTGAATCAAACCTCCTATGATACCGAAATCCGTCGTTCCCTCCAAATCCGCAGGTTCAATTCCTTGATTGAACAACTCATCCATAATTAAGAATTGAAGATTTGTAAGCCCAACAGATTAATCAACCAAGATTTCTCAATTGTCTTGCGATTGGTATGGAGATGTCGGTAGAGTGAATGTCGCGGTTTATAGTGCGAAATCTGATGAGATGAATTCAGACATAAACTACATTAACTAGATAATGAGTAAACGACCACCACCCCCTCCACCACCGGGTAGAACCACCAATGGTGTGAAGAAGGAGGATAGTAGGAATGGTTTGGGAGCTAATGGTTCTAGAAAAGCTCCTCCGCCACCTTTAGGGTCAAGTAGGAGTGTCCCTCCACCTCCAGGTATAACAAGAAAGACTGGAGCTCCACCTCCACCACCAGGTATGAAAAGAACTTCTGCACCACCTCCACCACCTGGAATCAATAGAAGACCTCAAGCACCTCCAGGTGCCACCAATAGACCCAGTTCAGGCATGAAACGTTCCATAAATATAAGTGATGATGAATTGTTATCAAGAGCTAAAAGGTGGAAACATCTTCAAAAAAAGAGATTCGAACCAAAGAAAGATAAACAATCAGGTGTGATACGTCCAAATAAAATTGAAATGCCTCCTGAACATTTAAGAAAGATAATGATCGATCATGGTGACTTGTCTTCTAGAAAAGTTTCTGCAGATAAAAGATCACATCTTGGATCATTAAAGTATATTCCTCATGCCATCATCAAATTACTAGAGAATATGCCTCAACCTTGGGAACAATCCAAAGAAGTCAAAGTTTTGTACCATATAACTGGTGCCATCACATTTGTTAATGAGGTACCTAAGGTAATTGAACCTGTTTATAGAGCTCAATGGGGAGCGACATGGCAAGCTATGAGGAAAGAGAAAAGAGATAGGAAATTCTTTAAAAGAATGAAATTTCCACCATTTGATGATGAAGAACCTCCTTTGGATTGGTTGGAAAATATTGATGACCAAGACATTCCTGATCCTATAGACTTACTGTTGGGAGATAAGAAAATTGAAGAATGGTTATACGACGAGAAACCGTTCTTAGAGGATAATGACGTTATAAGTGGTGAATCATATCAGAATTGGAAGTTAGATTTGAGTAAAATGTCCAAACTTTTCAATCTATCAAGACCTATATTACCCAATATCACTGATCCTAATTATTATTACCTTTTCGATAAAGAAAGTTTCATAACAGCAAAAAGTTTGAATTTGTCATTACCAGGAGGTCCTAAGTTTGAACCTCTTTCTGTAAACACAGGTGATACAGATGAAGACTATACAGAATTTGATGCTATTGATAGGATAATTTTCAGAAATCCTATAAGAACAGAGTACAAAGTTGCATTTCCCTATGTTTTTAATTCATCAGTGAAAGAAGTTCAAATAGAAACTTACCATCATCCTTTAAATTGCTTTTCTAACGACAAAGAAGCTCAGGAGTCAGATATAGCCTTTTACTTTGGTAAGAGCTTGAATGATATTCCACCTCCTAGATTTGAATCGATGGAAGAGGATGAAGTTGAAGAGTTGGACTTACCTCCGAGTTTCAAACCTTTTATGTCAGAGAGTTACTTAGATGACGAGGAGAGCGATGATGATAGTGATAGTGACGAGGAGAGTGACAGCGAAGAAAGTGAGAGCGAAGAAAGTGGTGAATTAAAAGATGAACTAAAAGATGAACTCAAACCATTACCTTTAGAACCAAAAGGTTCTGCTGGTGCAGTTCAATTATGGTGGGCACCTTATCCGTTTGATCGTACTAGTAATCGAACCGTCAGAGCCCAAGATGTACCTCTTCTCAAAGATTGGTATCTTCAAAGAGCATCACCCGGTCAACCTTTGAAAGTGAAAATTTCCCATCAAAAGCTTCTTAAAGATTACGTATTGAACGAATTACATACTCCAAAACAAAAGAAAGTTAACAGAAGAAAAATCAGTTTACTAAAATCCTTAAAATCAACCAAATATTTCCAAGAAACCACCATAGACTGGGTAGAAGCAGGTTTACAACTCTGTCGACAAGGTCATAATATGTTAAACTTATTAATTCATAAAAGAGGATTAACATTCTTGCATCTTGATTATAACTTCAATTTGAAACCCACCAAGACATTAACTACCAAAGAACGTAAAAGATCAAGATTTGGTAATGCATTCCATTTGATCAGAGAAATCTTAAGAGCAGTTAAAATGATCGTGGATGCCCATGTTCAATTCAGATTGGGTAATGTCGATTCCTATCAATTAGCTGATGGGATTCATTATATAATGAATCATTTAGGTCAATTGACAGGGATTTATCGTTACAAGTATAAAGTCATGCATCAAATCAGAGCATGTAAAGATTTGAAACATGTCATATATTCCCGTTTCAACAGAAATATCGGCAAAGGTCCCGGATGTGGATTCTGGCAACCAGCTTGGAGAGTTTGGCTCAATTTTATGAGAGGTAATATTCCCTTATTGGAACGTTGGTTAGGTAATTTATTGGCTAGACAATTTGAAGGAAGAAGAAGTAATGATATCGCCAAAACTGTTACTAAACAAAGAGTAGATGCATACTATGATTTAGAATTACGAGCTCAAGTCATGCACGACATTCTAGACATGATACCTGAGGGTATCAAACAGAATAAATCCAGAGTTATCTTACAACATTTGAGTGAAGCCTGGAGATGTTGGAAAGCCAATATTCCATGGAAAGTTCCTGGATTACCTGAACCTATTTCCCAAATGATCGAACGATACATCAAAGCCAAAGCTGACCATTGGATTCAAGTCACTTATTATAACAGAGATCGGATCAGAAGAGGAGCCACTGTTGAGAAGACCGTAGCCAAAAAGAATCTCGGTAGGTTAACGAGATTATGGATCAAGAATGAACAAGATAGACAGGTTGATTTTGCTCAAAATGGACCTTTCATCAGTCCTGATGAAGGTATAACTATTTTTCAAACTTTGGTGAATTGGTTAGAAGAAAGAAAGTTTAGTCCTATTCCTTTCCCTCCTTTATCATATAAACATGACACAAAATTATTGGTATTGGCATTGGAAGGGTTGAAGGAGAGTTATAGTGCTGGTGCCAAATTGAATAGTAGTCAAAGGGAAGAATTAGCTTTGATTGAACAAGCCTATGATAATCCACACGAATGTCTTGGACGAGTTAAGAAGTATTTATTGACCCAAAGAATCTTTAAAGAAGCCGGAATCGAGATGATGGATTATTACACCCATTTAGTCCCCACATATGCCATTGATCCTTTAGAAAAAATCACCGATGCTTACTTGGATCAGTATTTATGGTATGAAGCTGATAAAAGACAATTGTTTCCTAATTGGGTCAAACCGAGTGATGATGAAATTCCTCCATTATTGGTATATAAATGGTGTCAAGGGATCAATAATTTGACCAATGTTTGGGATACATCCAATGGAGAAAGTAATGTTATGATGCAAACTTCATTAAGCAAATTCTCTGAAAAGATTGATTTTACTTTGTTAAATCGACTTTTAAGACTTGTGATCGATCCAAACATTGCTGATTATATGACATCCAAAAATAATATCAATTTGACATACAAGGATATGAACCATGTTAATCAATATGGGTTAATAAGAGGGCTTCAGTTTAGTTCTTTCATATTCCAATTCTATGGATTAGTGGTAGATTTGTTGATCTTGGGCGATAGAGCTCAAGAATTAGCAGGCCCCGTCACCTCACCTAATAATTTCTTACAATTTAAAGGTGACGATGAAACTTCTAACCCTATAAGATTGTACTGTAGATACCTTGATAAGATATTTATCTTCTTCAGATTCGACAATGAAGAAGCAGAAGAATTAATACAAGAATACCTTGAAGAGAATCCTGATCCTAATTTCGAGAATGTGGTAGGTTATAATAACCATAAATGCTGGCCAAAGGATTCTAGAATGAGACTTATGAGACATGATGTCAATCTTGGTAGAGCTGTTCATTGGGAAATAGCCGGTAGAATACCTCATTCCATAACTTCCATTGAATGGTCAGATACTTATTCATCAGTATATTCTAAGGATAACTCCAATTTGTTGTTCTCAATGTGTGGATTTGAAGTCAGGATCTTACCTAAATGTAGAACAACCAACCCTATATCATCCAGAGAAGGAGTTTGGGATCTTGTGAATCATGAAACTAAAGAAAGAACCGCCAAAGCTTTCCTTCAAGTAAGTAGTCTTGAAATCGATAGATTCCAAAGTAGAATTCGTCAAATCATCATGTCTTCAGGTTCTTCTACTTTCACCAAAGCTGCAGCTAAATGGAATACTGCATTGATTTCATTGTTCACCTATTTCAGAGAAGCTATTATTTCTACTGAAGCATTATTGGATGTATTAGTTAAATGTGAAACCAAGATTCAAAACAGGGTAAAAATGGGATTGAACTCTAAAATGCCATCACGTTTCCCACCTGCTGTCTTCTATACCCCTAAAGAATTAGGAGGATTAGGAATGATTTCAGCATCACATATTTTAATTCCTGCTTCGGATTTAAGATGGTCAAAACAAACTGACACTGGAATTACTCATTTTAGAGCTGGTTTATCTCATGAAGAACAGAAAATCATCCCCACCATCTTCAGATATATCACATCCTGGGAGAATGAGTTTTTGGATTCTCAAAGAGTATGGGCTGAATATGCTATCAAAAGACAAGAAGCCATGGAACAAAATAGAAGATTGACTTTTGAAGATATGGAAAATAATTGGGATAGAGGTATCCCCAGAATCAGTACGTTGTTCCAAAAAGACAGACACACTTTGGCTTATGATAAAGGACATAGAGTGAGAAGAGAATACAAACAATACAGTTTACCAAGATTCTCACCATTCTGGTGGACTAGTTCTCATCATGATGGGAAATTATGGAACTTGAATGCTTACAGAACAGATGTCATTCAAGCTTTAGGAGGTATTGAAACCATTCTCGAACATACTTTATTCAGAGGGACGGGATTCGATTCTTGGGAAGGTTTATTCTGGGAGAAGAGTTCAGGTTTTGAAGATACTTTGAAATTCAAGAAATTGACCAATGCTCAAAGATCAGGTTTGAGTCAAATTCCAAATCGTAGATTCACTTTATGGTGGTCACCCACTATAAACAGAGCTAATGTTTATGTTGGGTTCTTAGTTCAACTTGATTTGACAGGGATCTTCTTGCATGGGAAAATTCCAACATTGAAAATCTCATTGATTCAAATCTTCAGAGCCCATTTATGGCAAAAGATCCATGAAAGTATAGTGCAAGATTTATGTCAAATCTTTGATAAAGAGTTGGAGGTGTTACAAATCGATTCTGTTGAAAAACAAGCTATTCATCCTCGTAAATCCTATAGAATGAATGGGTCAGTTGCTGATATTGTGTTGCAAGGAACCTATAAATGGAATGTATCCAAACCTTCTTTGTTGTTTGATAAGAATGATACTATGGATGCTACTACCACCAATAAGTATTGGGTAGATGTTCAATTAAGGTATGGTGATTATGATTCTCATGATATTTCCAGATATACCAGAGCTAAGTTCTTGGATTATACTACCGATAATACCAGTAAGTATCCTACAGCTACTGGAGCCATGGTAGGTATTGATTTGGCTTATAACATGTATGATATCTATGGTAATTGGTTCAATGGATTGAAACCTTTGATGCAATCAGCCATGAAAGAAATCATGAAGGCCAATCCTGCTTTATATGTTTTAAGAGAAAGAATCCGTAAAGGTTTACAATTGTACCAAAATCAACATCAAGAAGCATTCTTGAATTCCAATAATTATGCTGATTTGTTCAGTAACGAGAATCAATTGTTCATTGATGACACCAATGTTTATAGAGTTTCAGTCCATAGAACCATGGAAGGAAATTTAGCTACTAAGCCAATTAATGGTGCTGTTTTCATGTTGAACCCTAAAACAGGTCAATTATTCTTGAAAATCATTCACACGTCAGTTTGGGCAGGTCAAAAAAGATTATCCCAATTGGCCAAATGGAAAACAGCTGAAGAAGTCGCTGCTTTAGTAAGATCTTTACCTAAAGAAGAACAACCTAAGAATTTAATTGTAACGAGAAAAGGTATCACTGATCCCTTGGAAGTTCATATGTTAGACTTCCCCAATGTTTCTATCAGACAAAGTGAATTGAAGTTACCATTCGGTAATGCCTTGAAAAATGATAAGTTGGCTAACATTGTGGTTAAGGCTAATGAACCACAAATGATTTTGTTCAACTTTTATGATGATTGGCTTGAAAAGATTTCTTCTTTCACTGCTTTTTCAAGAATCTTATTGATATTAAGAGCAATGGGAATAAGTCAAGATAAGACAAATTTGATTTTAAGACCAGATGCTTCAATTATTACTCAAGAACATCATATTTGGCCATCTTTCACTGATGATCAATGGATAGACGTTGAAGCTCAATTAAGAGATTTGATTTTGAATGATTATGCTACCAAATATAACGTTTCTATTCAATCTTTAACTCAATCAGAAATCCGTGATTTGGTGTTAGGTCAAGATATTGCTGCTCCTTCTGCTCAAAGACAACAAATTGCTGAAATGGAGGAGAACAAAGCTGATGAGGAATCCAATGCTAATAAACAATTGACTGCTTTAAAGACTACAACCACCAATGCTCAAGGAGAAGAAATCACTACGGTTACTACTACCAACTATGAACAACTGTCGTTTGTTTCTCGTAGTGAATGGAGACAAAGGGCCATCGAATCTAATAACTTACATTTACGTAGTAAGAATATCTTTGTTTCTGACAAGGAAGAAGAAGAAGAAGGAGAAGAAATTGCATATATCTTTCCTAAGAACTTACTCAAGAAATTTATTCAAATTTCTGATTTAAGAAGTCAAATTGGGGGTTTTATTTTCGGGAAATCTTCCAAGAACGATGATGAAATCAAAGAAATCGTCAAAATTGTAATGGTACCTCAATTAGGTAACACTCATTCCATTCAATTCCCTGAGAAGTATCCTGAAATTGATGATAATTTGGAATTGTTAGGTTGGATCCATACTCAAGCCAGTGAGTTTGAATATTTAAATCCTATTGAAATCAATACATTATGCAAATTCAAACAAGATTTTGGAGATAAGTGGAATGAAAAATTCACTACTTTGACAGTGACTTTCACTCCAGGTTCAGTTACTTTGACTTCTTACAAGTTGAAGCCTGAAGGATATCAATGGGGAAATGATAACAAGGATTTGTTATCAGTATCACCTCCAGGTTTCCATAAAGAATTCAGTTGTAAGAACCAATTATTATTATCTGATAGAATTGCTGGATCTTTCTTAGTTCCTGATGATAATATCTGGAATTTTGCTTTCTTAGGACAACTTTGGACTACCAAGATCGATTATGAATTGAAGAGTGATATACCTTTGTTATTCTACCATGAATTCCATCGTCCAATCCATTTCAGTGGTTTCACAGAGATGGAATCCAATTTACTTGAAGCCGATCAAGAAGATAATTTCAAGTGAACTTATATATTGTAATAATACATGTAAATTACCAATGACGAACTGAAATGATATGATCTTCTATTTGGGAGAATAATCTTCGGAAATCCTCTCTGGAGATATTTTCTCTTAACAATAACAACTCTAAAGATGTTTTACCATTCATATACTTCAAAATATCATAGAATATCACCACAAGTTCTGATGCTAAGTTACATTCTTCAGTAACAATTTTATGAATCCATTTCCTTTCCAACGTCGTGGCCCTACCAGGATCAAGAATGATAGTATCTTCATCTTCTTCAAGAATGACCTCAGGTCCATTAATGCCTTTAATTCCATTGGCTATATCATCAATATCTCTTTCATAAGAACTTGGGTTGGAACTAATTCGCTTATTTACATTACCGTTCTTTGTATTTTTAGAAGTATTATCAGTGCCATGGATATTAGAAATTCTTGGTTTGGATTTCTTATGGTTATTTTCATTCTCCATATCTTCTTCAACTTTCATTTTCACTTTTCTTGATACTTTCAACCATATAAATGTATGTAATTGTGTAACATAACCATGTCTCAATAACCAACTTAATGCTTGTAAATATAAATCTTTATGATCTTTTGAAGGAATGATAGCCATGAATTGTCTTGGTTTCTTAGAAGGTGAAGATAAAAGTTTCAAGAACTGAGCTAATGATGGCATACTGGGGAAGGTTTTGCTAAATGTTAATATGTCATTATACATATTGATAGTTATAGGTGCCATTGGCGACACAATATAAATTGACCGAGTGTTCAATGGATGTATAACTCTAGCTCTTCTCCAGTAAATCAAATGGAAAGCGAAAGATTTCAATTGTGCAATGTCCAACATCAAGGAATTGGTTTCATTTTGCAATTTGGAATGTAATCTGATTAATGATTCTGTTGGCTTAATCATCCTGATGAAATTGGCCAATACAGAATCCGACTCAGCTTTGATGTCTTTTATGATAGTTTCCGGATCATCAAGTAATAGAAGTGCTAAATATATTATATCATCAGCTGTTGAATTAGTATCATCTTCATCAAGTTTGTCCATACCTCCTATATCATTATTTTGATTAGCAAGATTCCCCATCATCATAGACATGGCATTATCCATACCAAATCTGGTTGTTTCCCCTACATTGATCAATCCTGTTTTCCCTACTAATGATACTGTTGAAGATAAATGAGATCCAGGTAAAAAAGGTACTGTCAGTTGAGGCAATGAATGGAATTCTGTCTTGACCGGGATTTGAAATGATCTTAACTTATTATTTATGGATAAATTAGCAATTTCGGAATTACTTATGAAATTATAACAATCTATAATCAACTTACATAATGAAGATTTCTCTCCTAAGAAAGAATCAAGATTATTGAAGTTTGATTGATTTTTGAAATCTTGTTTCAACTTGGATATAAGTTTCACCTGTTGCCAGATATAATCGTGTTTCTGTTGTTCATGCCTTAACACTAAAGATAATCTTGAAGCAACATAATGATACATTTCATCAATTCTATAATTACTCTCAATAACTGGAGGATTCATAATGAACACAAGATGGAACATATTCATGGAAGTAATTTTGGGAGAATCCAAAGATTCATCTAACTTTGTGTCATCATTACTTACAAGTTTATTTTTCTTCTTCCAAGAACCGTTATCATTACAATGGACAGGTAAGCCCATATAAATGAAATCATCGATATTGATTTCAAATCTTGAATTACACATTTCTCGAGGTGGACACAACATTTCAACAAGATAATCTTCCTCTACACCGAACACTGATGAAGAATCCACTTGAATACTGGATTTAGAATTATTAGTTTGATCAGAAACTCCAGAAACTGTTTTCTTTAACATATCATCAAAACTTATAGATTCAACCGATTTCTTTGACTTATGACCCATTTTGGATTTCCTGAACTTCTCCTGATCATCTAAGAACAGTAGTAAATCTTTCTTTGTACCACTATAGAAATTATAATGTTTAGAGTCCCATTCATTGAGTACTTCATTTTCTTCATCGGAGAAATCATCAACTTTATATTCATCGTCATCGAGATCATTATCAATTGGATTATCACTCAATGTAGGAGGATACTTATAGACCAATTGGGGACCATTATGAGTGGATATTACCAATAGAAGACCTAAAAGACAAGGATTAGGTAGATTGAAACTCATGAAGAATATCGCGGTTCAAACGCAGGTGAGCATTAAAGAGAAGGATTAGTAGAACAAATACCCCCATGGGGATAAGAAATCAGGAAATTTAGAGTCGGTTGCTAACAGTCTAACAATCTAAATGTATAATCATCAATTACATTTTATGTTTGATATCCTTTTGAGCCAATTGAACGAATCTTGATTGAGGAACACCTTCAATCCATTTGTAAAAACCAGTTACAACTTCATTAGAATTGGCAGCATCAATGGCTCCATCTCTGTTGGCCTTTAATAATTGTTTATTCTTAAAGATAGAATCTTCATGTAAATCTTGGAAATCACCCAAAACATCTTTATAAATTTGTTCATTGAATTCTTCGGTAGTTTTGAAGTTATAGTCATTATACGATTGATTAATGAAACCTAAAGCTTTTAATTCTTTACCAGGAATAGGTCTAGAAAATAAAATAGCTTCAGAAGCTTTAGACCAACCTAATCTTTTAAATAAAGTAACAGATGTAGCACCTTCAGCTACTAAACCTAAATTGGAGAATGGACATAATAAATGGAATTTAGTATCATCCATAACATAGATTAAATCACATAATGCAACCAAAGCTGCAGATAATCCAATAACAGGTCCATTGACAGCAGCCACCAAAACCTTCTTATGATTTTGGAAAAGGGAAGTCAACCAAGTATTTCTAGCAACGAAATTACCTAACCAATATTTATGATCAAATAATTCAGCAACATCCAATTTGGCTAATCCTTTATCAGCAAAGTTGGCCCCAGCACTGAAATATCTACCACTACTTTGGAAAATAGTAACTACAGTATCTTCTTCTTCATTAGCCCTTTCCATTAACTTACCTAACAATAAGTATTGATCCCCATTTAAAGCATTCAATTTTTTTGGAATGTTTAAAGTGATGATAACTGTTCTATCTCTAACTTCATATAAAATATCTTCACCTTCCATGATAATCCCTTTTTTTTGAAAAAAAATTGAGAGTTTCCCACTGGAATATATAAAGTGCAGATGATTTTTTGTGGAGAATTTGTTCCAGCGGATTTAATTTGGTGGAGTTTGGTGAGACACCCATGGAGGGGCATGAAGGTTGTGAGAATCCTTGGGGTATACGAGGATTGCAGATGATATAATGAGGCGGTAAGAATCTTATGAAAGATATCTTGGATCTTGTGATATACTTATCCTTCGGTAGTTTAGTATATGAGAGTTTAGTATATGAGAGTTTAGTATATGAGAGTTTAGTATATGAGAGTTTAGTATATGAGAGTTTCCCCATGGATTGTGATAAGGATAGATAAAGTTTAATTGACTGAAATATCAGTCGATTTTTCAAGTATAGAACTCCGATGTGACTTTGAAACATCTCTAACTCTTTCAGGATGGTTCTTCTTTAAATACTATTTTGGAAAGTGAAACTCCGTTCTCACGTCAAAACCATCTTCCTTCTTCTCACGTGAGTGCGATTTTCTCACTGTTTATCGTTGTCCACATCATCATGGAAATAATCACCCCCGATAGGGACTTTACTGTACATCATGATAGTACAAGAGTTCCATTGGAATTCTTAAACTCCCCCGAACCTTTCTCAGGGATTGAAGGATTGAAATTTAGAGTGCCTATATTCAAAAACAATGAGTATTTTGTATTAGTTAAAGATTTAGCCAATGTATGGAATTATCCTTCCAGTTATCAATTAATCTCCAAATTAATTAAGTCCTCATCCATAACCAAGCAAGATTTCATTAAAACTGACAAGGAGTTGAACGAAAATTTGGGAGATCTCGTTAATCCTAAACAATATCATTTCATGATTAAATTATCAACTATTTATGGTATTTTGAAAGATAAATCAGTCTTAACTTATGATAATGAAACTCCTGAAACGTTTGTGGATATTACTAACCCTGATAAAATCACTGTCAGTCAAATCTTCCCTCAATATGGATTTATTGACTCTACTTTAGAGCTTAAACATTCAACATTCAACACTTTAACTAATCTCAGTAAGTATAATTATTACAAAAGTATAGGAGAATTCAAAAATGCTCCATTAACCAAAATGTATGAACCAGAATTAGAGATGTTTTATAGTTTAAATGATCATGCTAAGATAGAAGCCAATGAAAATGTTATTAATGAACAAGTTAAAAAACGTAAAGGTTTAAGTAAGAATAAAAAATCCAGTACTACTGACCCAAATTCTTTAGATTTATCAGAAAATGTTATTCCAGGTCAAGGATTCTTTCAAGAATTTAATGTCAACAGTATTTGTAGAGTACCTAATTATTATGTTACTAATAATCAACAACAACAACAAATTCAAACCCAACAACAAACTCAACTTCAAAATTCTAATGTCACATTGAATAGTTCATTCTTGAATTTACCTAAAAAGGAAGCCAAAGTTTCTAGAAATGTCCAACAATTAGTATTTAATAATGAATATGATCATTTCAATTTTGGTAGATATTTTTATACGATGACTTATAGGGGATTAGGAAGCGGGAATTATAAAGATGCTTCAGTTATGAATAGAATTAATAGAATACCTACAGGAACATTCACTACTGAACAAAACAAAGTTCATAAATTACATAAAAAATCTTTTAAGAATCATAAAAGATTTAAAATGCAATTGAAGGGATTAACCCATGAGAAAATTAACAAGAATTACCTTGATTACATAATACAACAACAAAGACAATCAGTTGAAGATTATGAAAATATTGAAATGTTACATAATACTTTACAATTCAATTTATTATTCAATACTTATAGAGATATTTCATACAATACTTGGAAGAATTATTATCGATTTAAATTGGTTGATTTTGATCAAATTCCTAATAGAGATCTCGATTTATCAAAGAATTTCCTCCTTTCAAGATTTAATTTACCTCACGAATATGATGAAATCAAGAGACATTTACATATGGAATTCAGAGATAAAGTTAAAAAACCTTTATATTATAATTTAAAACTACCTAATCCTAATAATCCACAATTTTTAAGCAATGTTGAAATAATCAAATTACCCAATGCCAATGAAATTGGTTGGGATAATTTAAAGAAATATCGTGATAACTAATCTTTAAAGATTTCAAATTCTTTATCATCACTTAATAACTTAACTTTAGGTTGAAATAATCTTTTCGGTTTGATAATTCTTTGCTTAGAATTCAATTTCTTAATGATTTTTTTACCTGTAGATTTATTTATGAATTCATTATATTGTGAATAATCAATTGTATTTTTAATAATAGGCTTTGTAGTATTACTCTTTGTTGTAAGGAATGGATTTTCAAGTGGTTCTCTCTTTATTGATCTTAAATCTTCTTCATCTATGAAATCTATATTCTTTGATTTATTCCAATCTCTCACCATTTTATCATCAATCATCTGTAACTTTGGAGTTGATGGAACTAATTTTGTTCTATCATTCAATAATAACTTCCCTGGTTTATTAAGCTTCCCTAAATCTATCACTTTCTTAATTCTCAAAGATTCTGGTGATGGTAAGAAACTAGGAGGCAATTTTGGTGTTTGTAACATATCAGATGATGGTGATGGACCTGGAGTATGTGGTGGGTCAATGGATTTATGTTCTTCAACAGGAGATGTTGGAATATTTAACTTTTTCACTTGGTTACCCATTTCCTGGTTGATAGTACCTTTTGGGAAATGTAATTGAAAAAAAAAATGTGCGACACCCTGATTACGTAAAAATAGTGCACACCCGTACACCCATGAAAAAAGTTTGTCCCCTTAAATCGACAAAAACAACGCGCGGTCAAATCATCAAAAATGAGTTTCACTGACAGTTTCTGGTCAATTGATTATAATCAAGGGATTAGAGTGTTATTTGATCAGTTATACCAAGGTATTAAAGAAAATGAACTGTTCATTGATTTATTCAAAAAAAGACTGGAACTGGAATTCATCTATGGGAATCAATTGAATTCAATATCTACAAAATCAAATAGTGATTATATTTCATCCATTAGAACAGCATTTGATAAGATAAATGAAAATTTCGAAGATGAAGGGAATTACCATATAGTTTTAAGTGAGAATATCAATTTAAAAGTTGTTGAACCATTTTCAAAATGGTGTCATGATCATAAAGAAAGAATTGAGTATAGTGATAATATATTGATTGAAAAATATAAATATTTCAAGAAATATAAAACATCAGTTGAAAAAATTCAAAAGAAATATTTCAATAAATGTAGAATTCTTGAAGAGTTCAAGAATAATTTCGATGAAGAAGATTTGAATGAATCAATGAGAACTGTTAATGTTGAAGAAGAAGAAGATTTTGATGAAGAAATTTACCAAATTGGAGATTTGAAGTTATCAGAGAAGAATTTCAAAAAACTTTTGACTGATTTGATTAATAATATTGAAATCAAAGATCATAAAGTATCAATCTTAGGTACTTATTCCAATGTATCTAATGGAAGTAACATTACTCATTGGTTATTGAATAATGTTGAAGAGTTAGATAAAGATATCAGTAAGATTGAAAGATTCGGTCAAGATTTAATCGATAATGATTATTTAAGGTTAATTGGTACGATCAATAATAATAAGAACTTCATCAATTCATCACAATATTATTATCAATGGAAACCTAAGATTTTTGAATTCATAGGGTTCAATGCCATTAAGGATGATTTGACTAGATCTAATTCCACCATAAGTTCCAATATGATGAAGAATCAATTTTCAGATTATTTCGAAGATATGAAACAAGTTATTGGAGTTAATAATGTGGATTTAAATGATAAATCCCAATACTTGAAAATCAGTCAAGAAGTCAATGGTTTAGATCAACAATATTATCAAGCAGTTGAAGAATTAGACAAAATCAGATGTGAATTTGAAGAATTAATTATGGACCATTTAACTTTCATGGAAAAATGTGAGTTTGATAGATTAAAAGCCATTAAGAAAGTATTATTTGATTTCTTAAAAATCTTCAATGCTCAAGATAAGAAGAAATTCTTGAATGAATTGTCGGTTCTTGAAGAAACTATAAATCCCGTCAATGATTTGAAGTTTTTAATTGAGAATTTCAAAGTAGGTAAATTCAAACCTAATGTGGTATTATATGATAATTACTATAATTCTAATATCAACCAAACTTTTGGTGTTGATTTATCTATAAAATCAAGATTAGATAAGAAAATAGTACCTATTCTTGTACAATGTATTTTATCCCATTTAGATAAGGTTTATCCTGATTTGATTAATGATGAAGAAAGGATCAATTTGTGGATTAAACCAGTACAATTGAATAATATTCATAGTTTAAGGTTCAAATTGAACCATTTATCCAATCCCCAAGATATCAATGAGATCTTAAATCAACAACATCCTATGATAATCACCAATTTATTGAAATTATATTTCCTTGAATTGCCTGATTCCTTGATTTTACATAATTCTTATGAAATCATTAAATCCTTATATTTGAATTATCCTATTAATACCAATGATGATTTAGACGAATCAAGAATTAATGGTTTACAAAATGTTTTAAGTGATTTACCAAAATGTAATTTAGCTACTTTAGATGCCTTGTTAACCCATTTGAATCGTTTAATTCAAATCATTGGTAAGAAAGATCATGAATTAGCTGTTGATTTTAGGAATAAGTTGTCTAAAGAATTCTCTTCAATCATCATATTACCAAAGAATAATGATCATATATTTGTTGATAATTTCCAATATCATTTCATATTGGATTTATTCGATAACAAGGATGTTATTTTCAAGCAATTAAGAAGGAATAATTCATCACATGAAGATGGAAGTTTAAGAATTAAGAAGAAAAGATCAACTTTGGACAAAGAATTACCTAATCCTAAAACACCTTCAAAACCAAGAGATTCAGAGATGAAAACTCCAAGACCAAAAGACTCAGAAAAGACTCCAAGACCATCAGAATTTAAATCATCCAAATCAGAACCTTTACCAAAGACACCCAAGCCAGAGACATTACCTAAAACTCCAAAACAAGAAACTTCAACACCTAAACCCGATTCTCAATCTCCAGGTTTAAGAAGATCAACATCTCCCAACAAGAAATCCTTAAATTCCTGCATCGAGAAGAATAATAGTTCTAGTTCCATAGTATCTTCTAAACCAGTTAAAAAAGATATCATTTACGATTTTTCTGATTTACAACAACCTAAATTTGCTCCTAGTTTGGGTAGAAAGTCATCAGTTAAAGATTTAGCTTCAAAATTTGAAAGTGAAAGTCCTTCACCAACCCCTAAATCTTCAGCATCTTCGACAAAGTCATTTTCATAACAAAGTCATTTTCATTATTATATAATCATCAATACATTTCTATACATTATAATAACTTGGAATGTTTTATATCATGTCTTAATCTATAAACAAATATAGCCAATAATAATACTATGAATACTATAACAAATAAGATATACCTAATGGTATTAGAAGCTGCTTCATAAGTGTTAATTGGTTTATCATTTTGGAATTTAATCTCTTTATGATGATTCATCAATAAATCAACTTTCTTACCTAATTCATCAATAGTAAATTGTTGTTCTCTAACTTCACTGATAACTTTTTGATTCAATCTAGCAATAGATTCAAGTAATTCAGCATATTGGGTAGTTATGGTATTTTGGAAATTTTCAAGTGTTTTATCGTTACCCACAACTTGACCATTATCTTTTTGTAAATTGAGAAGGATTGTTTCAAGAGAATCTAATCTTGATTGTAAACGATTATTTTGTTGAATGATTTCATTATATCTTGAAGAATCAAAAGTGATTGATCTATCAAACTCATTGGTTGAATCTTTAGCCAATTGTTCTTGAAATTTCCGATTCTTTTCATGTAATGATTCTCTGATTTGAGCTGGTGTACTGATTTGATTACGATCTTCAACAACAGTTTTATAAGCAATTTTCAATTCTCCATCACTCATTAATCCATGGTCATCAATGGCATCTTCAGTCATATAATCCCAAGTTTTCAATTTCAAAATTTCAAACATTTCTTCACTAGCAGGACTAACATTACCAGCAATTCCAAGTTTAAGTTTATTAGGAATCTTAATCTTATCGGTCTTGAAACATAAGTTATTATCGATTTGAACTTTGAATATACTTTGAGCTTCTGAGTATGATATTCTCATATTGAAAGGTACTTGAGAATTAAGATAAACAAATTGACAATCTCCAATGGAATCAGATAAACTATTTTCAACTTTTTTGGTCCCATCATTAGCAAAAATCTTCAAACCTTGTTTCTCTTTAGTATTAATCAAGAATTGGAATCCATCAAATTTATCAGGACCTCCAAAATTTGCAGTATTGGAGGTTTTATCTTCAACTAAGAATAATGATAATCCATTATAATCACCAAAAGCTAAGTCTTTATCGATTCCTGAACTTCTAAATACAAATTCCACAGTCCATTCATCATTTTTAGGGATGGTAGCTTTAGACCAAATTGAACCTCCAGTTTTACCAATAAGTAATCTACCAGTATCATACTTAATATTATTTAAACTATTCCAAAAATTCGACAATTCTGATAAATCCGATATTTGTAAAAGATCTCGTATAGACACTGCATCCACAGCTCGATTAATGAGGTCATGGGCATCGGGAACTATCCCTAAAATCATTCCAATTAAAAAGAATATAGTCCACTTCATGTTTCGTTGATTTGATCTCGATTTTTTTTTTCGCACTTGGCGTACTATTGTTGACCTCTTCTCATGATATTTCTACGGACCTTCCAAACTCCATTGATCTTGTTATTGTAGCTGACGTATGGAAGACTGGGGAGTTGTTGGTTGTTCTTGTGAGCTTTCTTATATTTTTGTTGGAAGTTTTCGAGTAATTTTGGCATTAGAATCTCACTGGTAGGAATATCACTCTCTCCCTTTACTATGAGAAGTTTATAGCCTTGTTCAAGGGATTTTTGGATTTTAGAAACCTCTTCGTTGTAGGGGAAGTAGATATTGAAATGCTTGTTAACGGTATTGATACTGTGGATCATGCAAATACCTCCAAACACTACATTGGTGTTATATTCCATGAACTTCTCGAGATCATGGGGTGTGATATACACCATGGAATCTGATTGTAACAATGATTTGTTCGTTTGGAAGTGTTCATTATCGACAAGGTAGTACCCTACTATCGAACAATCCAACATCACCGGCAAATCATTCAAGTTATCATCATAATTGAGCACAGAAACTGCATTGACTCCTATGAACGAAGTATCGTCAATATTGGTTTGGTAGGAGATTCTTAACGGTGAATTTTCAAGTAGATGATGTTCAAATAAGAACTGGTCACCTTTCTTATGGAAGTAAACAAGTTTATTAAAGTTTCTAATCTCTGAAGGTGAATATTTCGATTGATTAAAATATCCTTTACCCACAACGAGATTCTTGAATGTCAAACCTTCAAGTAAGTCATTGTTATTTGAAGATAGAAGAATCAAATTATCCGGGTTGATCAACTTCGTTATACGGATCAATAGCTCCTTACCATACCCTTTAACCCAGCCTGGAGTATTGATGACAAGATGGAATCCTCGAGGTTTAAGGTTGTTCATGTAGTAAGTGTACAAATGCTCTATAATGGTAAAGTAAGAATCTGGATTATTCTGAGGTGTAGTAAAACCATAGAAATAGTTCAAGTCATCCTCATCAACATGATAATTATATCCATAAATCGGTTCATAATGGTTTGTGATTGATAAACAGTAAGGTTTGGAGTATTCAGATTGACCAGGGTCAAGGTCCAAAACACTGACAGGTGACCCTTCTACCAATTTATTGATAAGTAGTTTCAGTACGGTAGATTTTCCTGAGTTTTTATTACCAATGGTAATGAAACTTGAAGGTTCAATGATGTCAACAATTCCATCTATGGATTTGACAAGCTGTTTATCATACTGAATAGCTTCCAAGTTTTGAAAGGAAATATCAAAACTATAATCACTGAAAGATGACTCTTCATCATGTTTGAATAGGTTCTTGAAAGGAAGGTGATATTTTCCTATATTTTCTAACCCTGTGGTCAAACTGTTCAATCTCACAACTGATTTATAATCACTGGTGAATAAATGGTCGTTTTTATCTGTTTTTATATCTCTAACTTCATCAGTATTTATCACTTGAGTACTTGAGATGACTGGAAAACTGCTTAATGCTGGCTGTATGATTTTGAATTTCTGTGGTGCATGATAATAGCTCACTCCGTTAATTAATATAGCTCCTCTTTCTATGATGAGTTCGAATTGGCCCGATAGCGTTATGGATTCGTCTACTTTAAGTCCCAATATCACATAGGTCTCATCGTAGATAACATTTTCTTTGTTCATATGAAAGGTATTTCTAGTCTTTTTCACCGGCACCGGTGGTTCAGGTACCTCTTCTTCTTCATCTGAGGAGTTCCTGGAGTATAGTATAGGGCCATCGTCTGTGAAAATCCCCCCTTCTTGTAATGCAGCATAAGCACTCATCTGATGGGTCTTCGCACTTCCAAGTTGAGATATTTGATACGAGTACTTTGACGATGTATGGCCCCTTCAGAGCGTGTGGAACCTTCAACGGTGGGTAACTGGGTGCCATTCAGAGAGTATGTGTATCAAATAGGGTTTCGAAATCATTAATGGAATCAGAGATCTAGAATTCTATGGAAAGAGGATTACTACGTCAGATTATCTATTTCAATTCTAAGGACTATCACAAGCTAAGTTGGCCAACAAATCAGCCATTTCATTTCCATAATGTCCTTGGTGACCTCTTATATGTTCGAATTGTAAGTTTGTGGAATACTTGATACGATCCATTATGTCCAAACAATCTATCAAAATGTCTTTATGTACAACTTGTTTCCCATCGGTTTTTTTCCAACCTTTTTTCTTCCACCCTTCAGACCATTTAGTTAGGCAATTAATACCAAACTGGGAATCGGTCTTGATCACTATTATAGGTGGTTTTTTCGATTCTATAAGTTTCAAGCCATGTCTTATGGCTAAAAGCTCTAACGTCTGATTAGTAGGGTAGGCTGAACCAGCGTATTTCTTACAATTTCTCCAACTGACGGAGATATTAGTGTGATTTCTCCCTATAAATACCCCGTAGCCTGATATGGTATGCATCGTACCGTTCCCTCTAGCTGCACCATCGGTATATATCTCAGGTGGTAACTCTTCTTCGATGTCATATTTATCAGCTGACCTGCTGATTTTTAAACCAGCCAAGCTAGGTGCTATGGACTTTTTCGGGATCAAATCAGCTTCCTGATAAATAAGATTCAAATTTGATTCGAACCTTGGACGTTTAGTGTTGTGTATTTCTCTAGGAGTTTGTTCACCGGAGTTTTCCTCCACAAATTTGTTTGCTTCTGCTTCAGTGTTGAACTTTTTGAATTTGGGACCACTAAAACCATTGACTAGGGGTTTGACTTGATCCCAATGATGAAAAATGCCCACTTTTCTTCCTTTAGCTACAGCGTAAAAGGGCATCTTCATAAATCGCGAGCAGGATAGATCTCAAACAAAAGATGTTGCAACGAATTGAACAAACTCCAAGAAAGGAGACCCTCGTTGATGCCGACTTGAGCAACGAGGATGAATAACTGGAGAGTTATCAAAAATCCTGAATTAGACTATAAACCTATAAATGGAAAGAATCATCAGAAGTGCCTACTAATTGAGCTGGGTGTGCAAGAAAAAAACTCAATTAATTATAATAGGACAAGGTGAAAGTTCATGCAGACTAATGCACGGCTACGACATTTTAGAGACTACCTTGAATCCTCCCAGTTGAATTCTTTTGGCTGAACCCTTATTACTTCGGGCATAATCCGTTTGTTGGAAAATGTGCTTGTAGATGCAGCCTATATAGATGGTGCGTGCACGTGACAAAAAGACCTAAAGAAAAACTGGCTGCAAAAAATTATCCACAAATTTAAAATCACAAATTGAACCATGGAACAAAATGTCGAAGGAGGGACAAATTCTTCTGAAGAAGACTCTGGAAGAGAACTCGACCACTACCTTGGAAAAAAAATTGGATCATTGATTGATAAAGATCCGGAAATTGTTGCAAGAAAACTGGAAATTTGGAGTGATATGGAAAGAATGATTGCTCAAAAGCTTGACAATCACCAACGATTTACGGCTTTCATGGAAAGATTTGATTCGTTTGAAGGTAGAATGGAGGCAGGTTTCAGAGAAATGGGTCGAAGAGTGGATTCATTGGAGAATAAAGTCGATGTCAGCGTTAGTTTGTTAAATAATAGAATGAGTTCATTGGAAAACAAAGTCGATGTCAGCGTCAATTCATTGAATAGTAGAATGGATTCATTGGAAAACAAAGTCGACGTCAGCGTTAATTTGTTAAATAATAGAATGAGTTCATTGGAAA